CACAAATGATATTTATAAAGAGCTCCATAAGGATTGTCGTTTGTGCTTTGTATTGTGCTCTAGGCTAAGCCTTATTGGATTAGAATTGGTGCAGTATGTCAGACCTTTTGCCTTTCAGTCCATAAGAACAGTTAGGGCAGCGGTTCTCAACCTTCCTAAGGCTGCAACCCCTTAATACAGTTCCTTATGTTGTGGTGACCCACAACCATACAATTATTTTCGTTGCTACTTCATCACTTCAGTGAATATGTTTTTTTTTTTTTTTTTAATGGTCTTGGGTGATCTCTGTGAAAGGGCATGTTCGACACCCAAAAGGGTCAAGACCCACAGGTTGAGAACCGCTGAGTTAGAGGTATTGAAACTGCAGGCTGTGAGAGATGTAGCTTTTAGGAATTTTGAGAATGGTATGGCCAAAGAAGAACTACATACTGAGTTTCTGACAGCTGTAGGATCACTCAGCGAAACCAAAAGGAAAGGGAAAGAGAAATTGATGGGACATAAGAACAGAAGAAATGGGTAAGAAAAAAATATACATTATGTGAGAAAAATACTAGGTAAGATAGCCAGAGGAAGACAAAGATTTTTGTGTGAAAGAGATTTAACATCTGGACATGAAATAAAAAGAGCGGTGTTAACTTCATTAAAATGTCAGATGATGGAGCGGTAAGATTGATTCCTGCACCAAACAGTAGACCAGGCACACATAAGCAGAAAAAGAGGACGTAAAAGATAGAGTAAGGTAGGAAAATAGAAAAAAGAAGGGAGAGGATAAGGGATGAGAAGGTTAAAAGAACCATAATGGAAGCAGAAAGATGAGAAAAAGAAGCAGAAGATTATGAAGAATTAAAAGACACAGATAAGGAAGGATCGGGGGGGGGGGGGGGGGGGGGCAGACAAAAGCAAAATAATGAAGAAAATGAGTAGAAAAAGAATATGGAAAAAGAGAAGAAGAAGGTACAAGAAAAAGACCTCACACAAAGTAAGAGGATGAGGTATAGAAAGAAAATAACAGGGAAGAAGAGGAAGCAAAATGGAAATAAAATACCTATTGTTGTCAAGTCTGTTTTGTAACCCTTTTAAGACTGCTAACTTATAGTTAACCTCCACAGTTGAGAGACCCACCACAAGAGGGCATGTTTGTCTGGGGTATCCACATCTGGGGCTGTGCATGGGAGAGAACCACTGGAGAAATACAAGATTTACCTCCCCGTACCAGCTGTTCACCCCTCCCAGTCATACATGTGACGTGCTGGCCCCTCAGCGAGAAGCCTAGCTGGCAGGATAACACACGTGCTGCAGAAACCTACCAGTGCCCTGTGTACCATTCTCGTCAAGCTCGCAAGGAGGTCATTTTAGAGGTTGATGTGAGAAAAGAGGGTATTCCTGCTTCAAGATGGGCTCTGCGCGGGCTGTCAGCTACTATAAGGCCATACTAATGTCCTTTGTTGTAATTACTATGCATTACATCTAGTCATCTCCTTGTGAGATGCAATTTTTCGTTATTTGAAGCCCTACTCTGGCTCTTGCCAGGGGCCGCATGTAGTCCAACCCTAAATATGGTCTAATGGCTGAACGCAATTTCTGGGACCTCTCCACAGTGATCCTCATCCACATGGTGGCACTTTGTGTCATCTGGTGTTTATGGGTTGTGTGATGTCCTAATGGGGTAAAAATGTACTACTTCTTTGTTGTAATTTGTCTGTTGTTAAAATACTAAATATTACTTTTATGGTAGAACACTGGTTGGGGCACTTGCCTGACAAACAGGGGTCCTGTTTGTCTACAGTAAACATTACTTTTTGTAAGCTTTTATTAAGTCTTGTCTTGTCCACAATTGCCTCACAGCGTAGTGGGGAGTCGCAGTTTTCTATCCTGTTGCACGTGTTGTTGTTAGTCCGTGTTGCCCCAGGATCTCTGATATATTGTCTATCCATCGTACTCTCGGTCTGCCTCTTGCTCTAGGGCAGTTTTATTAAGTTCATTTATTTTATATTATATTTTAACCTAACAGTAATGTTCTTTGATGGGGTAACCTCCACTGTCAATTCCTTTCTTTCTTATAGCAGACTCTAATTGTCATAGTACTGAAAGGATTAGCTAGGGTTGACCAGCTTCATGAAAATGAGGTACCAGATTTTCACAAGTTTCTGAGGCAGGGAAGGTGATGCCCCTCTTCCTATTTTGTTCCCTGGATCTAACGAAGCTTTGTGTGCGAGTAAATAACCTCTCAGTGTGCACGATCCAAATTCATTGTATGAACTATTTGATTGTCACAAGTATAATTCACTTCTCTCTCACACTGTAATTTAAAAAAATTGTTTTTTAAATGCATAGCATTCATAGAGATTCATATATGAAACATATTTTAAAGTATCTTTTCACACAAAACAAAAATAAACATGACTATATTATAATAAAATCAACACATTTTTATTTTCCATTTCATGCATTCATTCCACTGGATTCACATATACTATTTACGTATTCTTTTATATATAAAATAATATGCAAGTAATTCGCATAATAACTTGCAATTTAGTTGCTGCATTTTTTATATTATGTGAAATTTGTATGTTAATTTATGAATTTGAAAATATGGGAGTCGAGGTGGCACAGCTGTCATATGTAAGGCAGGGATTAAATTAGTCTCGGCTTGAAACTCCAAAGTTATATCACCCAAATTATGACCGGTGGAAAAAAAACAAAATAGATGAGTTTGCTGTCTCTCAACTCTGGGGGTTTCTCACATAATTTCTCTATCTGCACAACCCACATTTTTATACCATAAAATGCTGAAAATTTTTGTTGTTATTCTGTTGTGCTCTCTTTTGTATTGTTTCTGCCTGTGTATCTTTTTTTTTACTGGAATCTGATTAGTTCTCTCCCACAGTTTCAGTTATTCCTGACAGAAATATTTTAATTTTGATGGAGCCGCAAATAATGAACATTTGCCTAGAAAAAAGTCAAGATCTAGTGCTCCAAGATGTGCTCTTAAGCTGTCCATATATCAGTTTTCCAGATTAGTGAGAGCTGCCACCTGAAACTGTTGAAAGCTGTGTTTAACACCTCCACTCTGCTGGTTGTTGTATTTTTCATGTTCCGTTGAAAATCGCTGGAACTTGAGTTGTGAGCGCACATCCTGCTGTTTCCTCGCCTTTGCAATAATCTATACAGACGGATCCGTTATACGCCAAAGAAGAAGCGCATGGGCATTTACAGCACGCTCAGCGGGCAGAACAGTCAAAGAAGCCAACGGCGCCTTCTCCATGACAACCAGCAGCATGACGATGGAGGTGATGGCAGTGACACAAGCGCTTGCCTGGCTTGAAACACAAAAATACACCCGCGTGTGTATACTCAGTGATTCAATGAGTATGATCCGGAGGGTTCAGGCAGGTTCAGTGCGAAGACAATGGCTTGAATCATTACAGAAGTCCACTGTTCGGGGAGTCACCTTTATTTTTGTTCGGGGACACGCAGGCGTCGATGGAAATGAAAGAGCTGACAGGTTGGCTGGATCCGCTATCACTACCGACGGTCAGCCTATGGATCATGCTGATATTATCAATGCCCTCAGAGAAATGGGAAGAATAGAGGACTTTGGTGGCAGTGAATCCACATCAATCGCCAGAATGGCAGACTTGGGAATTAAGATCGGCACAGCAAAAAACGAGACGCACACCAGCTACGCCAGAAGACTTGTTAATCAACATAGAACTGGTACTATTAGCCATCGGACGTTGGGGTTCATACTGAGGGGAGGATCTGAGCACCTATGGACATGTCCGGAGTGCAATGAGGATAACCCAACTAACTAACTAACTATCCTCGCCTTTCTTACTCTGTCAGGGAGTGAATCAAATTTTTTTTTTTATACACACCTCTTCCCTTCACCAATATGGTTCCAGAACAAACACAGGGGAATCTTGTAATGAATGTGAAGCCAGTGACTTGAAAGCTACAAGCACCGCCACCTCCAGACTAAGACTGCGATGCTGCTATGAAAAGCATTCTTCTGAAGATCTTTTTTTTTGGTTTGTTTTGATGTAACTGATATAGCATTGTTTTGCAAACATTGTGTTATTTTTGTTGCCCTTCCTTACTTTGGATTTTAAACGATTACTGTTTTTACAAGTGGTATAGAAAATATATTGTCAGTTTAACCAATTCTGTGTCTGTCATGTATTTCAGTATTTTCCATAAACCCCAGGGGTACACACAACTCACACATATCTAGGGTGTGATTATTGGTGCGCACAGAAGTCATGCTGTTTTGAAACTCACATGAATTGCTGCTGATTTACAAAATTGAAAACAAAGATAACAAATGCTGCTCCTCTGTGGCGAGACGGCTATCTACATCATCAATGCCTCTTGACATCCTCAACAATACTGAGACAGGTTATTAAGATGCTCATTTGAAGCCCCTTAGCATGTGTAACTACTAAAAAGTGTGGCTTTGAAAATAAAAGGCATCCATAGTCAGCAAATTCAGAATAAAGTGTGAATTCTGAAAATCAGCTGCAGGCGATCTGGTAGCAGAGACTGCTTGGCACTGGTTGACAGCAGTGACCAGCTACTGAACATAAAATTGCCACATAGCCAACAAATGCTGGAGTTATAAACATATATATATGTCTGTCATACTCACGAGTATAGTATGTTCAAGATCATACTGTCAGGGGTATTCTCCAACAAATCAAGACGCTCACTTCATACACAAAAAACAAAGGCACCTTTGGACTCCAAGAAAACATTATAGGGGAATAAGGGCTGCAGGACTGTCCTTGGCAACAAGACCTTATAAATATTACACATCACAGATGTCTTCTGAGACAGGCATGAAGCCTCCATGGCTCAGTAATGAGATATTCAGTGGAGCCTCCATGGTTCAGTAATGAGATATTCAGTGGAGCCTCCATGGTTCAGTAATGAGGAGGCTACAACACTGTATGAGAAAACTCCCAGCTTGAGGTTTATCATTTACTCTGACTGGTGGCCTCTGCAGACAGATCCTTGACAGTCTTCCCAGCAGACATTGCTTCCAGACGCTCTGTGTAGAAGTTATTGAAATCCAACCTTCAAAGATAAAAAGATGGCAACATATTAATTATTAATAGACAACTATGTGATGTTTCATATCTGAGATGTGGTACATGTCGCATACAGCCTCCTATCATACAGTCTCCACCTACAGGTCTTAGGTTCTTCCTCACCTACAGTTGTCAGCCTCTCCTAGCACCATGCCTGCAAGTTGTCTTAGCCTCTCCCATTAACTCACTTCAAAGTTGTCTTAGCCTCTCCCATTAACTCACTTCAAAGTTGTCTTAGCCTCTCCCATTAACTCACTTCAAAGTTGTCTTAGCCTCTCCCATTAACTCACTTCAAAGTTGTCTTAGCCTCTCTTATTAACTCTTAGCCTCTCTTACTATCTCACCTACATGTCATCCTAGCTCCTAGCCTCTCTTACTATCTCACCTACATGTCATCTTAGCCTCTCTTACTATCTCACCTACATGTCATCCTCTCTTACTATCTCACCTGCATGTCATCTTAGCCTCTCTTACTATCTCACCTACATGTCATCTTAGCCTCTCTTACCACCTCACCTACATGTCATCTTACTTAGCCTCTCTTACCACCTCACCTACATGTCATCTTAGCCTAGCTTACTCTCTTACCATGTCATCTCAGCCTCTCTACATGTCATGTCATCTTAGCCTCTCTTACTAGCTCTCTCATGTACTTAGCCTCTCTTACCACCTCATCTACATGTCATCTTACTTAGCCTCTCTTACCACCTCATCTACATGTCATCTTAGCCTCTCTTACCACCTCATCTACATGTCATCTTAGCCTCTACATGTCACTTATCTTAGCCTCTCTTTACCCTCTCTTACCACCTCATCTACATGTCATCTTACTTAGCCTCTCCTACTCTTACCTACCTCATCTACATGTCATCTTAGCCTCTCTTACCACCTCATCTACATGTCATCTTAGCCTCTCTTACCACCTCATCTACATGTCATCTTAGCCTCTCTTACCACCTCATCTACATGTCTTAGCCTCTCTTACCACCTCATCTACATGTCATCTTAGCCTCTCCACCTCACCTACTCAGCCTCTCTACATCTACATGTCATTACTTAGCCTCTCTTACCACCTCATCTACATGTCATCTTACTTAGCCTCTCTTACCACCTCATCTACATGTCATCTTACTTAGCCTCTCTTACCACCTCATCTACATGTCATCTTACTTAGCCTCTCTTACCACCTCATCTACATGTCATCTTCTTACCACCTTAGCCTCTACCTTACCTCATCTACATGTCATCACTTAGTACCACCACCTCATCTACATGTCATCTTTAGCCTCTCTTACCACCTCATCTACATGTCATCTTACTTAGCCTCTCTTACCACCTCATCTACATGTCATCTTACTTAGCCTCTCTTACCACCTCATCTACATGTCATCTTACTTAGCCTCTCTTACCACCACCTCATCTACATGTCATTTTAGCCTCTCTTACCACCACCTCATCTACATGTCATTTTAGCCTCTCTTACCACCACCTCATCTACATGTCATCTTACTTAGCCTCTCTATCTTAGCCTCACCACATCATCATCTACTTATGTCTCATCTACATGTCATCTTAGCCTCTCTTACCACCTCATCTACATGTCATAGCCTCTCTTACCACCTCATCTACATGTCATCTTACTTAGCCTCTCTTACCACCTCATCTACATGTCATCTTACTTAGCCTCTCTTACCACCTCATCTACATGTCATCTTACTTAGCCTCTCTTACCACCTCATCTACATNCATGCTGCTGCCCAAGCAAAATTTGGAGAGAAAAATCGACCTGAAGTATTTCAGAATCCTCACCGGTGCTATGGAGTTTGTGCACTGCCTGAGATGCTTCAGATTCAGGCTTAAGTTAGAAATAGAATGGAGCACTTATGGGTTATACCCTTGATCTTGATCCCTTGTTTAAACCTAAACCTCGATAACTTTAAACTGTGGCAACTGTAATTTGTATCGCATTTTACGGTTTTCATTTGAAGACCCCTCTTACAAGCAATAAAATCACGCAAAATATTGTATGCATCCCCTCATTACTCAAATTCACAATGGGAAAACATAGTTTTTACTCAAATTCACAATGAGAAAACGTTTTTCAATGGTGTATGCACAATTTTAAATTTGTGTATTTAAATTGTAAATAAACAGCAACAACGAGAGGCAAGTGGCTGAATGGTTAAAAACGCTGGGCTCTCATGTGACACCTAAGATGATTCTTCTTCATGGTCATAGGCTGTAAACTCTGACAGAAAGTTCTGGCTGTTCATCCACTTTGGACTTGAGTCTTATTTCAGAACTAGAGTTTGCAAGCGCATCTGTTTTACAGATCCTGGCTTATTTGTAAGTAGACTGTGGGTTCCTTGTCTTGCCTCTCAGTCAAATATGCACTCTGACTTTGAAGGAAACACCCTAAATTAGTCAACTATTATGACAAGCTCGTTAGGGAAACAGTGCGTCAATTCTTTTTTTCCTCCTTTAAAATGGGGGCCAACACAACTCAAATGGGGCCACGCAACTCAAATGGGGCCACGCAACTCAAATGGGGCCACGCAACTCAAATGGGGCCATGCAACTCAGACGGGGCCACACAACTCAAATAGGGCCACACAACTCAAATAGGGCCACACAACTCAAATAGGGCCACACAACTCAAATGGGGCCACGCAATTCATATGTGGACATTCAACATTGAATCCTGTGTAAGGTTACAGGGTTTCTGTTGGTGGCACACACACAAAAATCATAACCTGTGCAGTACATGACGACCACACAAGCCATGCAGTCCTAAATCCTAAGGCTCAAAGACTCCTTGCCTACACAGCAAATGTGGTAAACACAGGCATTCATAACAGCTTCTGTTAACAGCAACAAATTAATCCCAGTGAAATATTTCAAACATGTACCTGTAGATAATTTTGAACAGTTTATGTTCATAGGTCTTTGTGTTTTCATCCATGATCTTGTCCAGAAATTTCAGCAGATGGCATGAGAAGTTGCGGTCAAAGGTTTCAATAGTCTTTTCAAAATTCTCATCTTTCTGATCTTGGTCAACAGGCTCTGCCATGACCTGAAAGAAGATGACAATAATAATCTGAGGGCCAGAATGAAAAGCTGGAATCCGCAGCTCAATAGATTTAAAAGACAAAATAAAAGTAAAAATAATAACCTGGCTTCCAGATTACCCCAGGCTAAAATGGGTACCTGGAAATGTAATGGGAAGTTAAGATGGCTGGTGTAATGCTGATCACATCCCCCAGGAAGTATTAGCACTTATCACCAATAATATGAAAAGGATTCTGACCCCCCCCCCCCCCCCCCCAAGGTTAAATTGTGCTGCTATTTTTGGACCCTGTCTCCTCGTGTCAGTTCTGGGGACCCATTTAGTGGTTGGGGGTGGGGGGGGGTTATATCAAGTGCTCTCCTAACAAGCCTGTAGTATAAGGTGAATTAATCAGAGGTGTTTCCTTTAGAGTTGGAATGCATATCTGCTTGAGAGGCAATCAACCATAAGTCGGCATACAAGTAAGCCAGATCTTCTATAAGTGGTGTGCATGCAAAGTTCAATTTCTGGAACAAGATTAAAGTTTAGAAATGGACAAACAGAACTATCCACCTGAGTTTACAGCCGGAGGATACAAAGAAGAAGAAGAAGAGTGTCAATTTTAAACTAGCAGTCTTTGGCCAATATCTTTGCTGCAAAGGTCACTAATAGTCATTGGCCATTACCCTTGCTGCAAAGGTCAAGCCTATAATTTCTATATCAGCATTTTGTCTGACAAATATACAACATAAACAGGTTGCTGTAAATATACAACACAAACAGGCCTTGTGTACATATACAACATTAAAAAAACAGTCAAACATTCAGACATCACATTCTGCCACAGATTACCTGGACATAATTTGAGAAGGTCACACACACAACCAGCAGTTTGTGAACAATCCGCAACAGTTCAGTGGATGTCAGCATGCAGTCTTTCAGGCAGGAGTCCAGAAAATCCCAGTGGAAGGCCAGAACATCGTCAACATTTGAGACCTGGGATTTCCACACAAATTCAAGTTATTAAAACAAACTATTCCCCAATGTGGGTTCGGGAGCTCCATTATGGAGAACAAAGAATAGATCCATGCCCGTCCATCAAGCATGTCCTAAGAGGCGACTAATTAGGGGTGATTCCTTTAACATTGAAGGACACCTGCCTAAGAGGCATGGAACCAACAGTCTACATAAAAATAAGCCTGATATGTAAAACGGATGTGCACACAAAATTCAAATGGTGGATCCATACCAAAGTCCAGGAGTGCTTGAATAATCAGAACTTTCTGCCTGAGTAAACAGCTTATGAATATTAAGAAGAAGAAATGTAATTGCAGAACAAATATTTATTTTTGCCATAATTTGTAAACTCAAGAACAACATGATTTATCTATGATTGAGGCGGCCAAAAGAACAAGAAGCAGAATTTTACTTTTCCCTTGACAACTGAAGCCCTAAAAGAGGAAGTAAAGAAAAAGTAGAAGCAGCAGCAGCAGAAATATAACACCTTGTTATGATTGTTGTTGTTTCCTCAATTACATAAACTATAAACACTTGGTCCAAGTACATATTAAAAAAAATAATAATAATAAAGCAACTCGACAACGTTCAACCTGCTGTTAGCCAGCCAAAAACAGCAAACACCAAGTATGTTATTTCCACTTAAACCCTTTAGGACAACAAACACTAGTTGCAGTTACTTTATTAAAATATCTAGAACATAAACTGGCTGTGTTTTGACCATTTAAAAATGAAAAAATAAATTAGGTTCTGCATCAATAAAACTAAGAAAACAGACTTGCTGTTTTACCCCCATTAATAAACTAATACAGCAAACAATGCCTGTGTTTTCCTTAGGAATAAATAAAATCTAGAATAGATGCTAGCTATTTCTTTTCCCATTAATAAACCTACATACATGTAATAACGAATGTGTTTTCCCTATTCACACTAAAACTTTGCACACTTGATGGTTTCCTCATTTCCTCTAGGTTTCCTTAGATCATCCACATCTCCTTTTCCTATCATCGACTGAGAGCTGCTTTGCCAGGTGTTTTGAGGCATTCTGCAACCTCCAAGCCATCTCCATTTTCTGCCTTTGATAACACTTGCCAGAACTCAACATTTTGTTTCTTCTTTTCCAGTTAACGACAAAGACTCACAAAACATATGCAACTCAAACACCTTGGACATATTCTGCATGAACACGTGCCAGTTTGGCTCAATAACTTCAAACATCATGTAGTACTCAAAGTTCTGCACAAAGTTCAGCATGCGTTGCCTCAAGGCAAAGGCAGGAGAGTACCATCGAGAGCTGCTCAAAGCGTACAGTTTTGTCTGTTTGTTGCCCATCCATACACTGTGAAGCAGAAGATTGTTGCAATACGGGTTACCACAGATTCAACTTGAGAAAAAGAAGTTTATGAAGCCTGGTGGCTGCAAAATATGTGACTATACTGACTGGTCAATAAAACACATACATTTCTGACTACTAAAAATGATTATGATAACTAATCGATTACAGCCCTTAATGTTTCAGTGAAGCTGATTATACTGAGTGATGGATTAAAAATCTCTAACTGTTTGTGATCAGCACTTTCTGTTATAACCAAGGCACCATTTGTGTGTGACTGCGCTTCATGTGATCGAAGTAACATACAATTTGTTATTGCACTTTTTGGGGTTTTTTCTTTAAAAGCGTACTAAAGAAATCAGGCAAAATATTTGTTTTACAATATGACCTATTTATATTGGTCACTTCTTCTGCACTGGCTCTTGAAAGGGCTGTCAACACACTGTTTTGTAGTTTACAGCTAGGCTGCAACATCTGTTCCTTTCTTATCAACGCATCCATTTTAAACAATTTCCTATTAAGTTTACTTTTATGGCACGCTATTTGGGGTTGTGATTCACTGAAAATAACATACATGTAAATTTGTTATCATTTTCAAACTAACCATAATCTGGTGCTAAAAAGAGTCATGAAAGCATGTTTGCTGACGAATGGATAAAAACACTCAATACTGTAGGTGGAAAATATTATATTAAGTGATGGATTCAAATATTTCAGTTTATAAGTATTACATTAACTGATGGTAGAAAACATTTTAAAAATCTTCCTCCTCACATTCACCTTCTTCTTCATTTCCTCTTTTACTGATTCTGGTATCACGGTAAACACTTACATTTACCTGCTGTAAACTCAAGCGGAAAGTCCTGGTTGTTCAACCACTTGTAGACTTTAGTCTAGTTTCAAGACTTGAGTTTTGTGTGCAAATCTATTTTACAGATCTGACTTATTTGTGTGTAGACTGTTGGTTCCTTCCCTCTCAAGCAGATGCATCCCGACTTTGAAGGAAACACTGATTCTATCTTTTGGCCAGGTTCCTATTTTGGGAACCTGTTTAGGATGACTGCAGCGAGGTACAGACAGGATACGTATGAGACCTCACGTGTGGTTCAGTACGTCTTTAAAAAAAAAAAAAATTATAAACAACAAAAACAACACTTATAATGATAACTGCCACATGAAAATGCTAATGATAGATGGACTTTTTATAAGTCGTAGTCATAGTTAAGATTTCAGCTTCATTGCATCATACCATCCCACACTTGATTCATTTTTGTGCCAGTGAAAATCAAATGAAATGTCCCTCACTGTCTCATAGGAGAAACATGATTAACAAATAATCCAGAAATGTGCTTATGCAGTAAATGCACAAGGTAGTTGCTAGAAGCACAAAAAAACAACAGTTACCACCAGAAATGCACTTTGTCATTGATGGAAGTCAGTCACGAAAAGTTAGTCATACACATGCAAAACTGTCACATAAGGTATTTCACCAGCCCACCCATGAACTGGCTACCCACCTTACTGAATACCACAACAAAATTGTTGCACAAATGAAAGGCAATTCACATGAAAAACACAGCTCACAGTGCTGCACCAAGCACTTAACTCAGTAGCTTAGGCAGCGGAACCATAGACTTCCATCCATGTGAAAACTGCATTAGCAAAGCACTGTCAGAAGCAAAGATAACTCTGAAGCTAAACATTCTGCCTTGCCTACCAGCCAGACTGGGCCAGAAGCACTTGTTACAGGCACAAATTTTAATGATTATAATAACGAATGGGCAAAATTAAGTACGGCTGACAGGTGAATACACCAAAAATCTCTCTGATGGATGAAAACATTAAAGAATTATTACTGAGTGAATAAACATTGTTTAAAATTTTAAAATACACCCAAAAAATGTGATTACTAGGTGAAAACAATTTTATGATAACTAATGGAAAAAAAAAGCCAGCGAAAAATAAGTAAACAAAGAATGTAATGCTGCATAGACAGTTTTCTTTAGTACATATATTCAAAAGGTTCAAAGGCAAATGTGAAACACTAGAATTTAAGCAATAAGAATAAAAAATGTATTCCTTGTATAATTAAGTTTAGATTTTATATACATATACTAGATTTAATTGGGATAGTGAAAGAAAGTCTTATTCTTTCATCCTCTACCTCATCTTGGTCTTCACAACTGCCCTGTATGTAGAAATAAATAAAATAAAACCCTGTATTTAATATCCCTTTTTCTACTTCAACTTTGTCTCCATCACTGCCGTATCTTTAGTTACTGCCCTAAGTGCAACAGAGGCACCCCCTGTAATACTAACACCAGTATTTAACAATTTGGGAGACAGACAAATGTATGGTCTCAGACACACATAGATATGTGGTTTCAAGGAAGATAACAGTAAAATATAAACTATGAAATTACCCTATTTAAGAAAAGTAATGAGACAAAAATTTTCACAAGATTTAACTCCAATGAAAGTTTACTTTTACTGATTGTTCCAATAAATTTGGAAATGTTCAACAACCTGGGTCGCCAATATGGCTGTAAAATTAAACTTTGTAGCCATAATGGCAAATAAAAATGTAACTCAAGTATTGGTCACGGTTTGGGATGGATTAACACTTCATTTATAATGAAAATTTTGAAATATGGAAAAAATTTGTGATTTATAGTGTAGATTTCTCTGTGTGTGTGTGCGTGTGTGGATGATGTACCTAGTTTCAACCCAACCTTCCTTAGCTGCCTTGCATTTCATGCATGTATGGCAGCATTACCATTCTTTGCTTCTTTTATGGGCCTGATAACACACAACATTTTATGAGGCATTGTCAATCCTGAACTTTACAACAAATTTACAAAATTCTTTTTACACCTGGCAGCTGCTGTGGTGTGGCAGCTAGATGCTCACCTGAGGGTTAGAATGTTGTGGGTTCAAGTACTGATGCAGAAGGACTTGAAACAAATTCTCGACTGCCAGCCTTAAATGGGTACCTGGAAAGGTCATGGAAAGTAAAGGTGGCCAGTGTAATGCTGACCACATCGCCCACCATGTGCCAATTGGTCTATAAAAATAGGTCTGGCCCTATTTGCTCAATACACTTGAGAGCATGGAAAAAAGTTCCTTTACTTATTTTCTGCACCTGAGGCTTGAACTCATGCTGTGCGGTCTCGAGGCATGGTGTCCGGCGTCGAGTGCTGAAGGTCCTGGGTACAAGCCCCGGTGAAGGCTGGGATTTTTTAATGTGAACTACTAGTAATTTCCCCTGTTTCTAGGTAGTAAGACTGGACGCTCGTGTGTACTGTTGCACATGAAAAAAAATCCCTTGGCCGTTGGAAATAAAAAAATGCAGCATAACGGCGCTGGCCAGGCAAAATTTGCAGTTAAAAATCTACCCAAAGATATTTCAGGATCCTCGCCAGTGCTATGGAGTTTGTGCACTGAGCTGAGATTTTTCAGACAGACTTCAGTAAGAAGTAGTGGAGCACTTATGGGTTACTACCTTTGCACCATGATGTTGATCCTCTAAACCTAAACCTAAAACTCATACCTGGTAATCTAGTGAACTATTCATCATATTTCATAAAGCATTAAATAATAAATGTCTACCAAAAATCTACATCTTTTCATGAACTAGCTGCGTAGAGAAATTACTCAAATGGTTAAGAACATAAGAACATATTAAAGGAAATTTGCTTTCTTCAACATTATATGCTGGGTTTAATCCCTCAACCATCTGCCCTCCCCCACTCTCCACTAAGATAGAAAATGCAGAAATCTCTTATTATGAACTGATCGCAATTCTTCTTCTTTAGCATTCCTAGCGATTGGCGTTCATTATTGCAGATATCACCCACCTCCATTCAGTGATTCGCCTTCTCTTTCCAGGCGGTGATTTAAAAAAATATGTTTGTAGGTCTGCCTGTATTTCATCTATACATATTCTTCTTAGTCTACCTCATGGTAAACTCTCAATAAATTCTTTTCTGTAAGCAGTTTTTGTCTGTTATCTGCCAATCACTCTATAAATCCCAACCATGGTATCAACTGGCGATATAAATTAATAAAACTCTGTGACCACAACTTTTTGTTTTTAAATGTAATTATAACACCTTACACCACAATCTCACATTACATTTTTTACAGTACTATTTTTAATTAAGCCAAATATAAAAGTTTTAAAAAGCTTGATTCTGATTTATCTCTACATACTGATGAAGAAAAAAAAAGGGAAGAGACAAAAAAAAATGTAAACATAAAATACCTAAAGTTTCATCCTAAAACAATCTCAATATCAACTCCCAGACAACACAGGAGATGTTATTATCAATTTCCCTTGGATCCCAACCATCATGTTATGTGTACTCTAATATTTTACATTTGACCACAGCATACTAAAGAAATCTGGCATTTCCGGTAAGCACTCTTACTGTGTATTAAAAAATAATCTAACAATAAATTTTCTGAAAGGCTATTTCCCCCAACGTCACATTCTGCGAAAGCTGTGACTACAAAGATTAAACTATCATCCAAAAAAAGATTTAAAAAACAAAAGATAACAGATCACCTGACCATTTGGCTCTGTAATAGAATACCAAACAAATGTTAGTAAATAGGTAAGACTCACACCGGAGATAATAAAAGAGGATTCCCTGAGTGTATATAATTATGTTCACAGGAACTTCAACAACTAAATATTTGTTTTATTGATTGTTAACATTATTTCCTTATTAAACTGTTACAAACGTTTTAAAAACACAGTAAAACTTTGATTAACCCGTCATTCGTTTAACCATCAGTTTCTGTTCTCCGTTATTGTCTAAAAATAATTAGTTTTTAATAAATGTGTGAGTTTCAACAAACAAGTAGACATCTTTAAAACTGTCTACATATTACATTTACACCCTACTGTGTAAAGCTGGACGTGACTACTTTATGATTGCAAAAGTGAATAATTGTGGGTGGTGTATGTTAAGCATGATCTAGTGAGCCACAAACCCATCATTTAACAGTCGCTTTTGTGTAACATACTAATCTCATCTGTGACAGAATAGCCTGTGTGTTCGAATGAATGTTTTGTTTCACAGTACCCTGATAAACTGTTTGACAGTTTGATAAACGTTACGACAGTGTTGCTGTTCTGTATTTTTTAAGCTGTGTTTCAATTTTATTTTTCAATAAAATTGGTTTAAAATGACTGAAAAGCAGAAATCTGTAGTGCTAGGTTTAAAAAAAAAAAAAAACTAGACATGAAGATGGTTAAACAGCTACTAGCACTGCTCACATTTACTGTGTTGGAAGAACAGTCAATGCTATTAAACACAACACTGAACAACATGTGTCAAAAATGCAAAGCACCGATGAAGTTGCTAAGACTTGTAAAACCATAAAACCGGCAAAATTTGACCAGCTGGATAATGCTATGACCAATGTTTTTTTTTTAAAAGCCAGGAGTCAAGAGTTGCCACTTTAAAGTCCTATAATAATGACTGAAGCAACTGACATTAATAATAAACTAGAAGATCCCAATTTTAAAGCAAGCATAGGATGGCTTGATAAGAATGTTTTGTCATAGTATTCAACAACTATACATTAGTAGGGGAAAACAGTGCAAATAGGTCAGTCGCTGCTGATTTCAAGAAACAACTCAATTTTAAAATAACAAAACTGAACCTCATCAGGGAACAAGTTTACAAAACTGAAGGAACTGAGATTGTTAGTCTTGATGAAACTATGTAACTGTGCAACAGTGTAGGAATAAACAGTAAAAACTTTATGGCAGAAGAAGTAATAGGTTGGTTGGAATGTGACAAAATAGATGGAGCTTTTGGCATTTTCAACGATAAAGAAATTGTTTCTAGTGTGACTGCCACTGAAGAAGAAGCAATTTATGACAACGAAGGAAAAGTTCTAAATAAACCAGAAAACCTTCAACTAGCCACTCCGAATCAGAAACAATGTTATCAAAGTGCATCGACTGGTGTGACATGCAAATGCAACACGTATCCTACTTCTGAGTATATGGAACATGGCCACATAGAAAACTTGAACCTCAAAGACACAGAAGGAGAAGATAGATTAATTTAAAGTAACGTAGGTTTATAGTATTACAATACATGTCTATACATTACTACTTTTATAGTGAAGTTTATATTGATCGTTTTGTAAAATTAAAAATTCAATATGTACGTATTATTCACTTTGAAAAGATTTTCACCTCTGTCCCAAGTCTGCAGTGAAATCATGTTACTGTACATATGTATTAAGTGATTTCTGTTATCCATCACAGCCCTGGCTCGGATGGTGACGGTTAATCAAAGCTTTACTGAACAAATAGTTAATATTTAAATTGATTTGAATTTTATAATTTAAAACTGACATAAGTACTTTGCTTTTAATACTTCGCTTAAAAAAAAATATATGCAAAAACTTGATTTTTCAATCAATCAGGTGCAGCTTCACAATGAAGGTAGCCTGCAAGGAATCTTCTATAATATACTTTGTCTCTATCCTGACTGTAGACACTCATGAATGCTGTTCACCCTTCTCTTGATGTTATCCTCCTATTTCCATTGCTTTGCTTTCTAAACCAACCTTAAAATACCTTTCTTTTAATAGTGAATTTTTGAGACACATACCTACAGTTAATAAATGAACAAAAGAGGAATACAAAGATGAGAGAAGGGTAACTCAAGCTTACCTGCACAACTGTCTCTCTACATGTTTACAGTAAAACAGGTGTCTGAACAGGATCTGGTATCTGGTGAGAACCTGTTGCGGAACAAAGTGTTGTTTTTTTTTTTTTAATATGGAGTACATCAATGATTTAGAAAACACAAAAGATCATTGCAGACTTAACTATGTCACTTCAAAAAGACAAAGTCCCGGTAAATGTTGATGTACTGGCATTTCTGAAGTGCAATGTTCTCAACAACAACAACAAAAGGTCATTTAATCCCATTTGTTCTATCTGTGCCTGCCCACTGTTTAGGAGTCCAAGATATGAATATACTAACTATAGATAGTATTCAGGGGTTTTCCTGAGAACCAAATTTAAGACATGTTGACGTCAAAATGTTCCAGTAAACTTTGGTCCCAGGGAAAGTATTCCGCATAACGCTTCACATTTACTGACTATTCTCTTTTTTATATGGGGGATGGGGGGGGGGGGGGGGGGGGGGGGGTTAAACAAAAATATAGATATAGATATTTAATAAAAACACATTTTTTACTGACTTGAGTAAAAGGGTTATTTTTTCAAGTTTTTTTTTTTAAAGGAATTCCTACATGCTCATGGCCATCTTTTTTTTTAAAGCATTCGTAGGGCCAAAAGCTTAATTACAAATAGACTTCCTGTCTAATATGGCAGATAGGCAGACTGTTTTATTTCTGGTAAGTTATATTCTTTTGGCCATGGTTAGTTACTGTTGTTTTCCTTATATGTGAACCGATATTATATAGTGCCATCGCCCAGCAACTGTGCTGAGTGAACAGTATTATACTACAAGCTGCAGAATTCATTTAAAATGCTTTCTGTCTGTGCCCAAGGTGATTTGGGTTGCGAATTGCAAATTTGAAAAAAACAGCGAGTGGCCTGTTGCCATAGAAATGGTGGTGCCTTATGCAATCAATTGTGTGAGCAACTGCTGATTTGTACTTAACTGCTGCTACTGATGATGAACTGCAAGTCTAATAGCAGACTGTTCCTATTGACACTTTTGAGAACTGACAAACATTTAACCCACTGACTACCAAGCCCGTTAACCCTTTGCATTTCCTAAATACCACTATTTTAGTGACTATTAAAAATGCCAGTTTCATTAGTATTTTACATAAATTCATTATATTTTGCATTTTTGCACCATACCGAATGCATAACAAATTTTAAGAATAAAAACTCCATAATCTTGTTTGATATCATCATTATTTGGCTGTACATTGGTTTTTAAAAAAGGCAACCCAAATTTGTTTCTGAAAGCAATACAGATTAACAAAAATGCCATAGCTTCACAACTATTTAACATAAACTCATAACATTTTGCAATTTTGTACCAAACTGAACAGAAAATATATTTAAGGAATTTTAAAAAATTGTGTGATCTCGTTTTACACAATCTTTGTGTGGCTGTAAATTGTTGCTAAAAGTCAAGTGAAAAATCTTCTGACACCAATCATTTTGGGGGGTTTTTGGTTGCCATTTTTTCATTAAAAACTTCTGTTACAGTATGACTGAATGTGGAAAGAAATAGAGGTTTACATAACTCTTACAGATAGAAATAAAGAAATAGAGGCTTACATAACTCTTACAGATAGAAATAAAGAAATGGAGGCTTACATAACTCTTACAGATAGAAATAAAGAAATAGAGGCTTACATAACTCTTACAGATAGAAATAAAGAAATAGAGGCTTAAATAACTCTTACAGATAGAAATAAAGAAATGGAGGTTTACATAATTCTTACAGATAGAAATAAAGAAATAGAGGCTTACATAACTCTTACAGATAGAAATAAAGAAATAGAGGCCTACATAACTCTTACAGATTGAAATAAAGAAATAGAGGTTTACATAACTCTTACAGATAGAAATAAAGAAATAGAGGCTTACATAACTCTTACAGATGTAAATAAAGAAATAGAGGCTTACATAACTCTTACAGATAAAAATAAAGAAATAGAGGCTCACATAACTCTTACAGATAGAAATAAAGAGATAGAGGCTAACATAACTCGTACAGATAGAAATAAAGAGATAGAGGCTTACATAACTCGTACAGATAGAAATAAAGAAATAGAGGCTTACATAACTTTTACAGATGAGATAGAAATAAAGAAATGGAAGGTTTACCTAAAAATCAAATTACAACAATTTTAATAACCTTGACAGGTGATAACTGAGAGACGACAGAGGCTCCCCAATTTTTAAAAAAAATGAATAGACAAGCTGACACTATTCTTGTTTTCCTTACCTTTCTGCTGACTACAAGAGACACTGGCCATCTGACAACATAGTCAAAGGAAAATGATTCCAAACCAGACAAGCGTATGTCAGTGGTGTCCACTCTGTAGTCTGTTGGCAAAATGTACATGCTGAACAACTAATTCTGTCGCAAAAAACATAGGAAGCCGCCGTGGTCTGGCTAGATGCCCGCCTGCGGATCGGAAGGTCATGGGTTCAGTTCCTGGCAGGGCCTGATTTTTTTCAAAAATGCCCTTGGCTCGCAGGTCACCTCAGCCTGGAGTGGGTACCAGGCACAGTCGTGGGAAGAAAAGGCGGCCAGCATGATGCTGACTACATCAACCACCGAGTTCTGTTTGGTCTATAAAATATGTCTCGTCCTATCGAACCAATACGCCGTAGAAACGGGTCCCTTTACAATAAACATAGACTTTTTTTTTAATGCCACTACTGCCTGCACTTACTTTTGCTGTGTGGGCGGGGGGAGGGGGGTTGAGCCTGGGTATTTAGGTATGCGTGGCTAGAGCTGTCACCACAGACTGTACAGGTTACTGATGATGATTGCCACCCAACTGATACAGCATCAGTGACAATTTTTTAGATAAGTTGGTGCTCTTCTTCCGCCCCCACTTGTGGCCAAGTGATCAAGGTATTTATCTCTTCGTACTCTCTCTGTTCTCTTTCTATTAATCTTGTTAGCTGTCACAAAGTTCTCGAGTCTATTTCCTTGCCTTGAAATTTACCTTCTGTAATCAAACAATAAGAATCAAATATGGGCAAAACTAAAGAATACTAAAGAATAACATATTCTTTAACGAGAAGGATGAATCTGGTTATTACATAATTTCCTTGTTTATTTGTAAAACTAAGCAATCAATGCAATTTTAATCTGTTACACAATAGTGAGAAAGGTAAAACAGTTTATCAAAGTGGTCTCTCTCTCTCTCTCTTTACTGCTGCCTTAGTTTCAGTAAATGCTTTCCAGCTCCCCCCCTTCCCTACTCTCCCGAGTACCCCAGAATATGATCGAGGCTGTTACTCTTACCCTCTGGACCATCCCAGTATCCATCGGGAAGGGGCGGGGGAGGGGGTGGTAGCGCCTACTTTTGATCTCCCACATAAGATACTAACATCAATATTTGCCAGGACAGGCAAACTAACTAGTTTTCCATATTTTTTTTTTTTTTTTTGAAATATTTTTCTTTAACAACAATAAATGTAAATTCTCACCCCTCTCTGTTCTGGAGTCTATGGAAAGAATTTGCAATAACTGTGAAGTTAGATCAAACGGCAGCAAGTCAACCCTGTAAAGCAGACAAAGGCAGAGTGTTCACTTAGTTAGTGGACATCATTTATTAACTACACAATGTTTTATTTTCCCTGTGTGGGTCTTAGGGCCCCATTGTGGGGGAAACGAGAACAGACTTACTGACTCCTTAACAAACCTGTCGTAAGAGTTAACTAATTAGGGGTTTCCTTCAGAGTTGGAGTGCATCTACCTGACAGGCAAGGAACTAACAGTCTGCATACAAACAAGCCAGATCTGTAAAACGAATGTGCACGCAAAGCTCAAGGTCTGGAAAAATATTACAGTCTATAAGTGGACAAACAATCAGAACTTTCCACCGGGGTTTGGAGAAAATGAACTAGAGACTGTAAAAATACTGACTCTCTTAAAAGAAGCAGCTCTCAAAATGGGACTAGTTATCAATCAAGATAAGACAGAATATATAATAATAAGAAGACAGGGAAAGAATATAAACTCTGGCCACATACAAGTTGATAATATGAAAATCAAAAGAATGGAAACATAAGTATCTGGGTGCAAACATGCTGAGAGAATAAATACAATCTGGAAATAAAGTATACTATGCCCTTCAATACATGCTAAAGTCAAAGTCTCTATTTCGCATCACAAAGATCAAAATATATAAAACGTTGATAAGACTAATCGTTTTAAATAGCTCTGAAACTTGGAGCACAACTAAAAGAGATGAAATCTCATTACAAATTTTCAAAACAGAGTATTACAACAAATCTTTGGACCCATCAAAGATACAAACAGTGAGGAATGGAGAGTGAAAAGCAACAACGAAATTCATAATCTGTTTCAATTACCATTGATCACTGGCATCATGAGATCTAATAGACTGAAACGGACACAAGGGATGCAGCCATTTTAAAAAATGAGTTAAAATCTTAACACATTAAATTACTAAGAGATAACGTATTAAAAACTTGCATTAAAAAAATCATTCGCATTTAAAAACAGAATAAAGTAAAATACCACCCTGATGTTTAAACAATGCATTTTCTCTCACACCCTGACTGCTGATTAATCTATTAAAATGCACCTAATACGCCTCAAGGCAAGAAAAATGGTCTTTTTTATTTATAATTTCCCTAAATGCAGATAAAATACAAAGGAACTCACTTCATCATCAACCAGTTTCACTGTTTATATGTCACATAGGGCTTGCAGTCGATTTCCCACTTTCATTCTTTCATTCTTTCGATATTGTGTAAAGTATCCAGCTGTGTACCTCTAGACTCTCTCATAAATGTTCCATTTGTTTCTTATTTCAGTGCTTTTTTCCCCCCTCTTTGTTAGTTGGAGCCCCATTTTTTAAGGGAACAAAGAAAAGTCCTTAAACATGTAATAAAAGGTGACTAATCAAGGAACTGCTGAATTTGTATGAGTTGGGCTGAAAGGGGCAGATATCACAGTCCAGCTGTAAACAACAACACAACATGCCAACTACCCATATAAGGGTGCAAGCAGAAGAGGAAGGAAGAATGCCTATTTAGCTTACAGTTGCTTTATCAAACAACATTCTTCGTGAATTGTTCACTTGAAATGCAAGATTACCAACAATTTTTAGCCTCTGGCTCCAAGATGCCACAAACCTAGCATTTCCATCCATTCTAATCCCACGAAACTGAAATTCCAGTCAATGGCAATAGTTCTCTTTGCGCCTGTGCAGTGTTTTGGAGGATTGGTTATGATCATATTTACTAAAAATAACATGGTGGGGTTTTAGTTACTGGTGAAAAAAATGCCATAATGTCATAATTCTCTTAGCCTTTATTAATTGGGGTAATGAGGTCACACTATGAGTCACCACATGAATTTGTTTTTTCTTTTTTTAATCGCCAAAGGATTGTAGTCATTTAATGATCCTCTCATGCCTTTACGTATACAAACACACGATCATCATGTAGCAGGTCCTTTGCAAAACGTCGCTCTCATCACTGCCTGCCTGAAAGAAACTCGGTCTCTCACCAGCTTTCCTGCCTTGTGTACTTTCGTATTCAAGAACTTACTTATACCCTGTGCCCATCTTCGTGTCGGACGGCCCCTGCCTCTCCTTCCTGGTACCAGGCCTTCTACTATTATTTTTTCTAATCTGCCATGGCGCTTCGAATGACCAAAATATTTCAGCTTCTGGGAGAAGATGCTGTTTATCAGCCAACTTCCTTGATGTTTAGACCTTTTAAAATGTCAATATCTTTTCTTTGTGCATGGTATTCTGAGAATTTTTCTATAGCATTTCAGCTCAAATGACCCTATTTTCTTTCTTAAGGACTAGGAAGACAGTCCACAGCTCACATCTGTATGTTGCTACAAGGAAGATACATGCTCTCAAAATTGTAATTAGGGGGCTGCGTGCTCTCGAGGCATGGTGTCCACCTCATTGCTAGGGGTCCCATTTATTGTTTATTTTTGGGCGATAGCCAGTTTTGTGTGTGGACATTATTTTTGTTGTCTTTAAATTCAAGAAAAGGTTTTGATCTTCACTGTATTTTTGGACAGACATGATTAAATTTTCTATAGGTTGTATGAAAGGAGGACTGTTTCATCTGCATAGCAAAGTTCAGGAATAGGGTTACTAGCAATTATGAGCGGTTCATAACTGCCACAGGTCTGGTCATTTTTGACTTTTCTCATTATGTTTTCGGCATATATATTGAAAAGGTATGTGAATATAAACATATTTGTTATATTTATTAGTTATCTGTGTAAAATAAATTTCGTTTTTTTTCTCTGGTTCATGGCTTTTATCTCCAAAGGGTTTCTGGGTCAATACAACTTACCGTAAATCATCCTTGAATGGATCAACATTGGCTGTGCTAGTTCTGAGAGCAAGTTCCAACAAGGACTCTAGTCTAGAAGGCAAGATATCATCAATGTGCTGTTTCATTTCAACCTCAGTCATGTCCATGAACTGCACAATGAAGTCTCCCTTATCCAGCAAGAAGTAATGTTTGATGGACCTAAATATAAGATTATGAGATCACATTTAAAAATACTGTGAAACAGAGCCACCCTAAAGTACAAATAGGAATAGTATGGATCAATGTTACTGGTGGATGAATAATATTAATGAGTAATGCCTCAGCATATGGCAACTATTTTCACAAGTGGCCTTAATTTCTTTAATCTGTGGTAATAGCTTGAGCAAGTTACTTTTAGTTTCTCAGTCTTTTATAAATCATTCCTGTTATAAACCATAAATATCAGTAATTATAATCATAGTAGCTTAGATCTATATGTGATTACTGCTACTTTTCTTTAATCCTTTGTCCCCAATATATCAATAATCTGACATCAACACCTATTACAAAATTCCCACAATGCTATTAAACCAGCATTGCTGTATTGGCTAGTCCCCGACAAGCCAAGTTAAAAGCAATGGTTCTCTTTGCACCTGCGCAGTGAATAGGAGAAAAAGATACTATTATATTTACTAAAAATAGCACTGTACAGAAAAAAAAGTAATTTTTTTTTAAAAGTCATAATGAGGTTGCAATTCACAGTTGAGCCTTCTCAAGTCGTCCAGGGAAGGGGTCACTATATAATTGTATTTTAGACTAACAGAATGTACTCATTCAATTGTTAGCTCCATCTGCATTTTATTTTAGGAGAAGCATATAGTTGAATGAATGAATGAATCAAGAACTGACATCACTACACTTGGGACATTCCCACACTTTCTCCGTATTATTCCTTACTGAATGAATTACCCAGCAAAAATTTATCTCTCACTGACTTTGAACGTTTATGAAATACAATTATATAAAGTTACCGTAAAATAAAGTTTTCCTTAACAGATTTTTTAAAAGTCATGACACTTGCAAACAGAATTTACTAAATGTCAAAGTATAATTAAGTAGCAATTTGACAGAAGACCTATGAAAAATGCTACAAATACAGCATCTGACTTGCAGCAATTCGCAAAGATACCATGATAAAAAGACTCAAAGTGAAACCTAGTGTAGTTCAACAATGCATCAAGACATTATTCACTCAATCCTCATCTTGTCTGTAAAAAAAAAAAGAAAAAAAAAAACCTACACTGGCACAAAACAAGTCAGTCATCTACTGAATTGAGTAACTGTTACAATATATTAAACAGGGGTTTGATAGAAAACCTATAGAATATACTACAAATACAGCATCTGACTTGCAGCGAGTAGCAGATGCAATGATAAAAAGACTCAAAGTGAAAGCTAGTGGGGTTCAACAAGGCATCAAGACATTATTTATTCCACCCTCATCTTGTTAAAAAAAAAACAGAAATTGACAAAACAGTTAAGTCATTCCATGGGTCATGAGCCGAAGGGTCATAATGTGTCTGACACATTTTATGAAAAAATAGTGTGTGCAATTGCTGATTTGTTGCAGGCACTTACGACAGCTTCCTTTGTTGCATATATACTATTATTAGCTTTGCCGAAACTGCTTTCTGCTTCAATTTTTCACAGGAGCTAGCAGAGGGCATTCTGTGTGGTTTTCATGTGTGCAAATATGGAGTAATTATGGGATGTTCTATTTGCTGCAAAGTTGGAACTGTGACCATATTTTAAAAAAAAAATTATGATGATAAAACACTCACTTCAGTCGAGCCAAGAGTTCCTTCTCTTCCATTAATAAAGACAGGAGCAGACGGCTGGCATAGCTGTAAGCCCGCTCAATCTGGTCGTAGTATCTGCGCTCTTTGATTGTATACACTAGCTCCTCTGCAAATGGGCATCGAACATCTCGACCTAGGGGACAGTACAGGGAGTAAGAAAATTATCAAACAGGATGTACAGGAAAGGACTCTTAACCAATTAGCCCTGAGAAGCCAAAAATCTGACACTTCCGGTTGGGTTGAATTCCCCGTAAATGTCACTTTTCTTATTTGTTTATTTGTCTACAGTGACTTGTTTACATGTCTGTTTAATGCTTCACCCTGTTAATGTTTATTAATTATTGCTTTCACATCTCACTCTATCTCTCAAAGTGTAAAAAAAAACAAATTTGTGTTTATGGATTGTTTTCTGAAACTCTATGGATATTATAAACTATTATAAAAAAAAATTTTTGGTGTTCCCGAGGTGACAGGATTTGAGGCCAGCAGCAAACAAGGCATACTGTACTAGCCCTGTATTTTAAGAGACCAATCAGCACTAAAGGGTGATACCGTCAACATCCCACCAGCTGCCTTTACTTCCCAGGTCATTTCCTGTTAACCATTTCAGGTTCAGCTAACCTGGACACAGGATAAGTTATAACAGTTACATGCAGACCATGAGCAGTCCACAGATCTGGAACTGCACTATACTGATACAGCAGAAGACCTACAGTAAAAATGGAGTCACATGGTTAATGACAAATATTTCAAACTGGATTTGAACCCAGAACTACAGAGCTGGCAGTAAAGTGTATTACGCACTATGCTACAGCAGAATCTTCTATCTGGTTTACATCTCATGTTAAAATACAATCACCCAGTTAGGTGCCTTTGCCACAATGAAGTACAGCTGCAACACATGTAAACTCTCTCAGACTGCTATTTATCCATCTTTTGAATTAGTCCTTGCACTTGTACCACAGAATATCTCTTGCCTTTGACTCCAGTATGGTTTCTAACATGGCTAAAATATTTCAACTGTCTCTTTTTTCCCCCTTCTTGAAACTGTCTTTTCTTCCCCTGTATTTCCAGAATTTCTGTATTTGATTATTATTGCTTCCATGCAATATGGCCTATTCTTTTGTCTATCCAGATCTCCTGAGACTATTTTATTTTCTGCAGCTTCTGTTTCTTATAAATCCTATCTGGGCTTCTGAGAGTTATATTTCCAATGATGGCCTTAATCTTCTTTCGACTGGCAATTTGGTATACATTTCCCCCGTGTTGCTTAGTGAAATTCCTCTATAATTAGTGCAATCTTTCCTTAAAATTTAAAATACACAGAAAAAATTTTAATCACTCATTCTTTCTATTTAAGTGTCATTTTCACATTGTGTATGTCATTAGACCTAATAAAGGCAATAATACAGAGGCGAATCAAACATTTCCATAATGCATAGTAACTATTCCCATTGGTCACTTCCAATGAAACAAAATGATGGAAACTTACCACACTGTCTGACCACATTGAGGTATTTGCCAGTGTTGAGAATTTTCACTGCAACTTGCTCCAAAAATACCGGAATTCTTTCTCGAAAGACAGAATAGTGTTTCTCCCAGTAAATGCAACAAGTTAAAGATTGTTTTAAACATAAAAATGTGAAGCTTAAACACCCCATTCATATTCAACAGATGATTTATCGAAAAATATATGATAAATTCAATGATACAAAATGGTATGATAGAATTACTAATGTAGAGCTTTGTGAAAAAATCTAAACAAATTATAGTGAAACAAGAGGCAAAGAAATCATGCATGCCTTTTATATAGCACATGTTGGGGGAAAACTGAGACCAACTAGAATATCATTAGAAGGAACTGACAGGGGCATCTAAAAAAAAGGCAGAGAGAGAGACACACCCACCCACACACACAAACACGGAGAAGGGAACTAGAAAGTGTAGTTAAAAAAGACGGGGAGAACATGAGATGAACTGCAACAGCAAACAATAGTATGACTTGGCTTGAGTTGATGGAGGCTTATGCTTTACTGTGGGATTCAGAACAGAAGATGAAAAGAAAGACGAAATGCTAAATTTCCTCCCTAAGACAAATAGTGAAATTAGCAATAACAATTATGTAATGTCCGGGTTGAGAAAACAGTAATTATAACAGAACTGAAAATCATTAATGCTCTGAATTCCACAGTTCTTAAATAAACCATCATCGTGTGGCATGCTGAACAGCATAGTGAATCTTTACCAATTCAGAATATCATAGGCACATATCTCACCTTTCACAAAAAATATACACCATTTTAAAATATTATAGGTGATCACGGTTGACCACTTCACAATATTTTAGTTCACCATGTCCCAAGAGATTATTTTATTTTCCATGCACACACTGAAGATAGCCTCATGAATCTCATTCAAGATTCTCAGTCACATCCTAGGATGGTTAGGTTAGTTGTGTATCCTTTTACATGACGTTGCAGAACCAACCCCAACAGCCCCTGGCTGTTGTGTGGTTTTTCTAGGCAAATTTACGTCCAGTAGTTTGCCATTGCTTTTTGGACGGTCGGCTCTCTTGATACCACTGTCGAAACCAACGCAAGGTGCATGGCCAGCAGCTGGGATCAAACCCGGCATCCCGGCATTACGAAGCACTCGCATCGACCTTGGATGGTACTTTGACATTTTCCTTGTCCACTGTTAAATGTTATCCTCTCACATAAATTATTATATTTAAAAAAATTAAAAACATAGACAGACAAATGGAAAGGTAATTATTTAGCCATACACATAGAGAGAGATAGGTGGGTGAGTGGATGAACAGTGATGGGTCAGAGAAGAAGAATGTCATGGACTTCAGACACTCAAGGATACGCATCATTATAATCTTCCTGCAGCTTCTCTTTGTTAATTTTCTGATTCTCCTCCACCAAGAACTGCAAATGGAAAAACAACTTTCAACAAAACCAAAAACATGGATACTGATGATCTACACAAATGATTAAACTTGTACTGCTGATTCACACTCGCTGAAACACCACGCAATGGTATTTCATCTACCTTAGGTCAAATGTGAGCAGATAATGGACGCCAATGCCCTACAATCATGACTAATTGGGGATAAGCAAGTGGGCCTACATTTTGTGAGCCCTGTTCGGGATGAGGCAATGCTGGCTACTTAATCTCTATGAGTATTTTGCATGAGTTTTAAGACTGGATTATAAACAAGTTTTGCTTCAAATGATTTGAACCAAGAACTGCAGAGCTGAAAGATAAATGCACTAGCTACACCGGTACTGCCACTCTATCTGCACAGAATATAGAGAGTGGAAAAGACTAAAAAGTCCAACAGCTGAGAGAGCTACAACAATACATCTACTAGACTTTTAGCAAGCAAGTGCGTGTACACTATTCTACCAACAGTTCTCCTATCTGAAGCCTGTTACCATTTCTCCCCTTAGGTTTGAGATTTTTGAAGCAAATGAGCAAAATCCATAGCTTAAGAGATATAATCCTGAAACTGCTTCTTGCACAGAATGGCTCAAAAATAGGGACGCAGAATCCTAGACAGTATTCCCTATTCAGTGCCGGTTCTTCCCCTCCCCCTCATCTGTTTGACTGTTTACCATTTATAGCCAGGTTATACTGGTAGGAAAGTTTTTAGGTCTCAGTGGCAAACAATACAATATTCAGGTGGTTTTTATGCTGATATAAAGGTTAACTTTACCGGTCAATTAATGGATACTCCCTATTTCAAATAACGATCGTGTAGAAATTAAATAAAAAATTGTAAGCTTGACTCAGAAAAGTTGAACCAGCAGTACAGATAGTTGTTATTTACATCTTATCTTGTATATGTACTTAATTAATTAAATGTAGTTACGCTGTAAATAATAAAAGAGAGAAAGTATACTGAACTTGCAGCAAAAATATGAATCTACTAGTATTATATAAACTTGACAGTTTTTATACGTTTGATAGAGTATTTTCCCTTTGATTTCAGTCACAAAGCTAAAGTTAAACGTAGAGTCATATAAGGGTCTTCTTGACTTACGACCGAGTTCGGTTCCGACCAACAGGTCTAAGTCTAACCGGTCGTAAGTCGATTTTTTATTTTTAAATACTATTTTTTTTTTCAAATAGGTTATAAAATGTGCATATAATACACTACAATTAAATCTACGTATGTATAATTATTGTAAATAATGTGAGAAATATATAATATGTACTCTATTGCATCAGCTCCGGGAACTTTTTGAGCCCACGATGACCAATGAGGCTATCATTCTTTACTTCCAATTTTTTATTTTAACATTTGTTTGGGGCGTTGAAAGTGCTTTGGTCATACGTCCAGGTGAAGGTGCACACCGATATCTGTATTTTCAAATCTTGACGAATCAGAGGAGTGGTGATGACTTAGCTTTCATCCCAGCAGACAGAACAGCCCATTGATTAAGATAATCTCCAAGCATGAGTGCCAAACTTTGATGCTGTCCGTCTATTATTATACAGGGATTTGCCTTGATTTTCATATTCCCACATTGCAAGTATGATACTTGGGAGGCTCAATAAAAGCAAAGACCGTGTTTGTCTCCCTTAGTAGTTCCATATCTGACGGCCTCTGAGTTAATTAATTATAATTAATCGACTGACTTTCCTCATCGCACACTGGACAAGTTCATAAGCACTTATCTCCCATCTTTAGTATATCTTTCAGTTTGTGGCGTTTGATGACACAGGTCTGTATTGGTTTACTATTCTTCTTTGGCTACCTGATAGTGTTCATGTCTGCCTCAGAGTTTCAGTATTATCTTCACTGTTTGACCTAAAGGTTGTAGTCCCGCCCCAGCAGGCCCGTTCAGAACAGCTATATGTATACTGTTCAGCCCTAACCAGTTTTAAAAAAAAAAAAAAAAAAAAACACATAGGCATTCCCCTTTATCCCAGGCTTCCACAAATTCAGACAACAAATGGTGCTCTGGTATAAGCTCAAACCTAGGAATCATCATGTACTGCAACTTACTATTTAGTACTGTTTAGCATCACACACAATAAAATGAGCCTTCAAATATTGGTGTTTAGCCCAATTCTGTATCCCAACATCCATGCATGTCTGCGTCATGAAATTTGTCCTACAACACATTTGTCTCTTGTCTCAGATTTTTCACTCTGGTAGTTTCAGTAACAAACCTCCAGGTCTCATAATATGGAGGAGTCACCACGGTGTATCGGCTAACACTTCCCTGTGGATGTGAATCCGAACAGAGCCAGACTTTGTTCAAGAATTACCTTGGCTCCCAGGTCGACCAAGCCATGAGCGGGTCCTAGGAAAGGTCCTGAGAAGTAAAGGCAGTAGGTGTGAAGTTGATCACATCCCCTACCAAGTGCCGACTATTCTATATAGACCTGGAAGGAAAAGGGTCCTTTACTTTACACATGGTGTGAATGATGCGGCACTTTTATTAAATAAACTACTTGTTAAAAATGTTACCTTTACTACCAACAAGATGCAACAAGCAAATAATGAACAGACAATACAGCGACCTCTCACCTCTGAATAAGGGTCCACTATAATACCCCTGTATATCCACTTCTCAACAATTTCCATGTAGGGGACGCAGGCCTTAAACAGAGTGAGAGGGAAGTTTATAAAGAAATGCACAAGAAAAACTAAACTTAAGTTTATTACTTACAAGGTCCAACAATTAACTAATGAGACTAATTCCATTAAAAAAAATAAAAATCAACAGTTGAAGATTTAACCTGTATTTTATTCAAAGTAAGCCCCTTGTGCATTGATACAGTGAGTAATATGATCTAACAAACACTGGAACCACCTATGTAGTTCTTTTGTTGTTACGGTCCTTTGGATGTCATTAATATCGGTAACGAAGCGTCCTTTCAATCGTAACTTTAATTTTGGGAATAGAAAATAATCACAGGGATACAAATCTGGAGAATAAGGGTGGAAGGCTGAGAACACACACTTGTTTTGGGGCCCAAAATTCTTCTTTTAATAATGTCTCTTGGGTACTCAGCCTACTAATATTTTTTGTCCTCAGACAACGAATGTGGTACAAACCGACAAGCAACATTTTTCTTGCCAAAATCTTGCGCTAAAACTTTACGAAGGGTCTCTCTATTAACATAAGATTCATCTGCCATCATACTGACAGTAAGACAACGATCTTCTTGTATCCATTCTGTGACGTTTGCAATGAGTTTATCATTACAAACAGAAATTGGGCATCCAGGTCTAGTTGCATTAGTAATCATTTCTACACCACTTTTGAATCGTTAAAACCACCTGAAAATCTGTGCAGTAGATAAACAATTATAGCAAATAAACTTGTGGCTTCAATTGAACTGTTGCAATGGCGCTTTTTTTTAGTTTTAAACAGAATTTAATGTTAGCTTTTTGCTCCATGCTGATTTTGTAACGATGCACATCTAACTAGATCAATAAAATGGCGGCTTGTTTGTCATCTGCTTATCAGGCGGCGATGCAAAGTTGCCAGATCATAGATGTAGGTTGCCTCTTTGGATTCAATGCTTCGCTTCATAGATGGCACATTGGTCTTGGCCGTAATAAAATCCGTCTCATTACTTAATTGTCGGACCTTGTAGATATTCTTCTTCTTCAGCATTCCAAACCCTTGAGGTTCATTGCTGCCTCCATTCATCTCTCTGGTAGGCCTTCTCTTTCCAGTTGGTGGTACCAAGTGTTTGCAAGTCTGTGTGGACATTTTCTCTCAATCATCTACTTAGTCTAGCTTATGGTCTACGACCATTCAACTTCCTTGAGTATACAGTTTTCACTTCTTTGTCATCTGACATTCTCTCAATGTGACCCAACCATTTCAGTCTATTAGCTCTCATGATGCCAGTGATCAATGGTGATTTAAACAGATTATGAATTTCATTGTTGTTTCTCACTCTTCATTCCCTGCTGTTTGCATCTTTGATGGGTCCAAAGACTTAAATATTCACAATGTAAAATATTCGCAAAAAAGGCATAGTAAATGTTAGCCAATACTTCCATGGCAGATTATGTAATAAGAGGAGAAGCTCATCACTGGAGATACGAAGTCTGTGCTTTGTACGACACTCTCGGCAGGTGGCTAGGCATTCTGTGAAGAGAGACACAGCCATATGGGATAAAAACCTGGTGCATTCAAGTTGATCTTCTTGATTTTAACTTTTAACTTTAAATTTGAGAAGCCTTCAATTTCCTCAGCATATAGCAACTACTTGCACAAGTAGCCTTTATTTTCTTAATTCTGTGATATCAACTTGAGCAAGTAAGTGGCTTTTATTTTCTCAGCCTTTCATAAATCCTCCCTGATATCAACCATAAATATCAGTAAGTATTATAATAATACAGCTTAGGTCTGTATATAATTACTGCTACTTTTCTTTAATCTTTTGTCATCAAGACCAAATAATTTGGCATTGTCATCTGTTATAAATCCCCACAATGCTGAAAAACTAGCACTGCCACAATGGCCAGTCCCCTAACAAGCCTAGTTAATGACACTGGTTCTGTCTGCACCTGTGCAGTGTATATGAGGGCTGAATATGATTATACTGACTAAAAATAGACTTGAGGGTTGCTACTGTGATAAAATATTACTTTTATTTTATCATTATGAGGCCATAATTCACCACTGAGCTTTCTCTGGATGCACAGAGGAAGGATTACTGTATAATTTTTTTACAATAACGGAATGTCTTTTTTTTTAACATTTTTCAGTAACAGTATTTGCATTCTCTTGATTATTCATCTTCACATATTTCAATTCCAATTTGTAAATATTTTTTAGTAAACCGAAGAATGTTTTTTTTTCTAATGGTTTTCTAAATGTTAAAAATGGGGATTGTCACAAGCCAGAGCTTCAGAGCAGAAAGATCTTTGTTCTGATAATAATCCACGGGCCACTTGTAGGCCTCTGCAGGAGTCAACATTATATGTAATAAACTACTCACTGTCTGTGTCAAGTACAAGCACAGCTGTGAGCTTCTACTGTCTCTGAAAAGAAAAAAAAAAAAGAACAAATTATGTCAGTTTGAAATTATACAAGATGAAAATATGAAAATTTGAAGTTAGGCAGAAGAAAAAAGAAAGCAATTTTTAAATTTAAAAAAAAAAAAAAAAAACCAGAATAAATGAAATGGAAACTTCAAGCTAAATAACCAAGCATTCCAAAAGCAGGCTTTCGGGAGATCCAGGCTTCAATTTTTTAAATAAGGTTATGCAAATCCTATCTGTATAGTCTGTGGCAACTGTATTACACATAGGACTTCAAGCTGACCTATCTCCCTCCCCCAATCCCTACTTCTCCCCAATGATACAGTGCTCTAAGTTAGAGTATTTACAGGCAGTAAATAAACAACAGAAGTAACTCTGATCAAACCTATACACACATTCAGTTGAAAATAATGCTGGAAAAAAAAAATTCTTCTTTCTTTGTTCATCGGCTGTAAGCTCTGGTGGAAAGTCCTGGCATGGTGCCAGGGCCTGAGTTTTGCGTGTACATCCGTTTTACTGGCTTATTTGTGTGCAGTTGGTTGTTTCTCAGAATTTGGGAAGATGCACTCTGACTTCGAAGTCGACTCTAACAACATGCTTGTTGGGGAGGCTGTGGGTCTATATTCTTGTTTTCCCCATAATGGGCCCCAAAACCCACACAGGGAGGACAAATTCAAGATTTTTTTATGTGAGCTCTCGCATTTTTGTTGTTGTTTAAAGCTGTCCTCATTAATCTTTGAACTGGAATAATTAGATCACAAAAACAAGTTTACTTGAAACAAAATTACACCAACCTAAAAAGACAAATTATAAATACAATCTTTATACCGACATTAGGTTATCAATGTCAGACTTGGACATTAACAAAAGAACACGAGAGAAGACTAACCACCTGTGAAATGAGATGTTTGAGAATGGCTGCGAATAAAACCAGAAGAGATCGAGTGAGAAACGATGTGATTACAAGAACTATTGGAACCATACCCATCGTTAAATTTATTGAGAAGCAAAGAATGAAATGGTTTGGTCACCTAATGAGAATGGAACCAACGATGCCAGCATCAAGAGCATACAACATGAAAATCGAAACATCAAGAGGCAGGGGAAGACCAAGAAGAAGATGGATTGAAGGAGTCACGGACAACTTGAGACTTCATAACATCACGGCATATGAAGCGACTGAGCGCGCCCTGGCTCGGTTGCCGATCATCTGATAAACTGCGACGCCTAGCGGCACAAGCAGATTTTGACAAAAGAAGAAGAAGTAAAGAATGAACAAATTTAACAGCTTTGTATTTGCTATAAAGTTAAAACCCTTAAAAGAACAGCAAGTTGAAATAAGCTCTAGCCACGATCTTACCCAATCATGGATGCTGTTTTCTCATGAAGAAGACTCAGGACTGCACCACCAATACATTTACCCTGAAATGTAAAATATACGTCAGTTTAGAGACAGCTGCTTTATACTGATGTTATGAATGGACGGATGGTTACATTAAATAATAGGGCACAAACGAAATTAAAGAGACAAGGAGAGGGATAAAGACAATAGGAGACAGACAGATGGAGAAATAGACAGACAAAGAGATACTGGATGATAACTTCATTTCAAACACAACATACAAACTCATTGAGAAAAATCTTAGCTACAACCATGCTACTAGCAACAGAATCAATGATTTAACAGATACCACTAATCGACCTCAATTCAATCCAGACACACCCACTTTTCTCAGAAGATAGCACGGAACTAACACTTACAGGAACTACAACACAGACAGGAACTACAACACAGACAGGAACTACAACACAAACAGGAACTGCAACACAGACAGGAACTAAAACACTTACAGGAACTACAACACAGACAGGAACTACAACACAGACAGGAACTGCAACACAGACAGGAACTGCAACACAGACAGACACTGCAACACTTACAGGAACTACAACACTAACAGGAACTACAACGCTAACAGGAACTACAACACAGACAGGAACTACAACACAAACAAGAACTACAACACAAACAGGAACTACAACACAGACAGGAACTGCAACACAGACAGACACTGCAACACTAACAGGAACTACAACGCTAACAGGAACTACAACACAGACAGGAACTACAACACAAACAAGAACTACAACACAGACAGGAACTACAACACAAATAAGAACTACAACACAGACAGGAACTACAACACAGACAGGAACTGCAACACAGACAGACACTGCAACACTAACAGGAACTACAACGCTAACAGGAACTACAACACAGACAGGAACTACAACACAAACAAGAACTACAACACAGACAGGAACTGCAACACTCGCCCTGTTGATGGAGTTAGCCACAGATGCCAGGATCTCCAGAACCCTCATGGTGGGCTGTAGGTAGTAACACAGCTTCTGTAGCGTCAACTGACCCTGTAGACAGTTACACAAGGTATTCACTATGAAATCCATCATACGTTCATTAGTTAGTTCAAAGACAGTGCATATCCCTGACATTTCCTTCAGAATTATTACTTTTAACTCATGCTGCCAACAGAATGAGGCAGCTTAAGATGAAAACATTAAAACTGTGACAGAAATTGCAAAACTCATGCCATAGTCTTATAACCTGCTAATGTTAATGTCAAAATATTGAGCATGTGGCATCAGTTGCAGAGGAGCATGGTGATGTTATAAGAACAGTGTACAGAAGCCTGTCACTTTTTACTTGCACCAAAGAGAATTCTCTTATCCGTTTTTTTTTTTAAAATCTCTGATGAAATTGCGAAACCATTTGATTTTCATTTTCTCAATGAATTTGCTGCATGGTGTTGTTCCTACAGTCTGTCTGATAATATCATTTCTAACTTTGTCTTCGATGGTTAAGTTGGTGGCTTTCCTCAGACATCTCATTTCACAGGTGTTGATTTTACGTACATTAGCCTTTGATAATGTCTAAGTTTGGCACACTTAGCACAGTGCTGGTGTGAATTTTCTGTTTATAATCTGTTTCTTGACAGACATACTTATGTTTGGATGTCTTAATAAGGGCATCAGTTTGAATATGCGTGCAGTGGCTCGTTGGCATCATGTTTCTATTTCATGACCTATTCTGTATTAAATTAGAGGCGTACTGGTCAAAAGAAATTCCGCTACTAATGGCCAATGAATCCAGAACACTGCTTGAGCAGACAAGCATATTCTTTTTCTTCTTCTTCACGTTCAGTTGTAAACTCTGGGGAAAAGTTTTGGTTGTTCATCCACTTCTGAAGTCTTGGTCCAGAACTTGAGGTTCGCATGCACGTACATATTACAATGTGGCTTATTTATATGCAGGATGTTCGTTCCTGGTCTGAGGCAGATACTCGATGACTTCACAGGAAGAATCCCCTAATTATTCGCCTTGTACAGCATGCTTGTAAGGGGCAGTGGGTCTATTCTTTTCTTTTTAAATCCCAAAATTGGGCCTGCCCGCACAGGGAGTGCAAGTGTCAAATTACATTACATGTCACCTGAACATTTAAATGATTATGAGCACTGTGTGTGCATGTGTACAATATAACTAGAATGTCTCTGCGCTGGACCCACAGGGACATAGAAATAAAAGAAAAGCAACAAAAAAACTCATGGAGAAGGGAGCTAGACAGTGATGTTAAAGAGATGGGGAGGACATGGGGAGAGCTGCATTTGACAGCAAAGGATAGAACGACTTGGCGTTGAGTTGACTGAGGGCCTATGCTCCACTAGGGGTTAGAAAGGCAGAAGAAGTAGTATGCAAGCATGTCTAGGTCACAGAAAAGAAACAAAAATGCAAAAATAACCACACAGTTTCTTAAACTGAAGGACAAACAATCTAAGAAAAAACTTCCCTAAAAAAAGTGAAGCAATCAATTCATCAATGAAGTTTTATGTATGTACGTACCAGCTTCATCTGCTGCTCCAGCTGTGCCACCAGCACCATATAGTCCTAGAATGAGTAATAAGATTAGTTAATAAGGCATCAGGTAAGAATAGAGGTTTCATCTCACAGCTAGGAATAAACAAGACAGGTTCACCTCACAATTTATTAATAAACAAGACTACCAGTCAATACGGTGGATAGACAGGTTTACGGTTTTCAGCTGTGTCTAGTTTCTGTTTCTGACAGTAGTTAGTCACTGCATTTTTCCACCATATGAAGACTGAAAGATAAAGTTGTCGCTCAGTGCATGGCATGAAACTGTCAGCTATAGACTTCATTTAGAATGCTCTTTGACTGTGCACAACGTGGTATGTGTTGTGAACCTCAGATTCATAGAATGGTGAGTCGCCTACTGCCAGTCAACTGGTTGTGCCTTATGCGATTAATTGTGTATGTAACTACTGACCTGTTTAACCGCTGCTTACAGTGAAAATGAATACATTTCTAGTACTGGACTGTCTGTGTTGGCACTTCTGATGCTTGCCCAATGCAGTGTTTTCCCAAACTTTTCTTGGTCGCTGCACCTTTTTTTAATTAAAATTCTCACATGGCACCCTAACCTAAGTAAAAGTATGACTATTCGTGTCTTGGTTAAATTAATTATCAAGCTTTTACAATATTTCGAGTTGCCCCTGTGAAGAAGTCGTGGCTCCCCGCGGCACACAGTCTGAGAATCACTGGCCTAATGCATTTAATGCAATCAAGTGCTATTGGATTTGCTGAGTCTCTGTCCATCTTTTCACAAGAGAAAGGCATGGGCATTCTCTGGTTTTCGTTGGCATTGGAATGGAGCATCTATGAGGTGACATGTGTGCTATGAAGTTGGAACTGTGATTACCTTATTAGCTAAAACAGCATTATCTCTCAAACGGTAACAAACAAAACAAGATCATCTGTTCAACAGGTTGTGAATAATCTGGAAGGCTGATGTTAACTTCGAAGTATGATGCACTGGGAGTCGCCGTGGCGCAGCAGCTAGACGCTCGCGTGCGGATCGGAAGGTCTTGGGTTCACTCCCTGTCAGACTTTTTTCATAAATGACTTTGACTCCCAGGTCGACCCAGCCTTGAGTGGGTACCGGGTGCAATCCCGGGAAGTAAAGGCGGCCGGCGTGATTCTGACCCATCTTGTGCCGATTGGTCTATAAAAATATAGGTCTAGCCCTAAAGGCGTGGAAAAGGGACCATTTCTTTTTTTTTTTAAATGATGCACTGACAATATCAGGAAACAAACTGAGATGGAACGAGTGCTAAAATAATAAAGAGACAACAGATTAAATATTTCAGAAATATACCAAGACTTCCAAAAGAAAGTGGACCACAGAGAGCGCTGTCATTTAATCACAATGCAAACAAAGCTACAGGTCGAATTTCTCGATAGTAAATTCATAGACAGACGGAATATCCAAGGCAGTGAATACCAGCATCTATGTAGTACATGCCAGATACCTTTCAAAACCTGATGCTAAAAAGCAGAACTGGACTACAGAAAAGAAAAAAAGAAGTAGGATGCATTAATGGTGCTCATGTCATGTGAACCCTGAAAGCAGCTTGTTTTCACCACAGCGAGGCTGGTAATGAAACTTCTCCTAAACGAGTACCATATGGACTGTCTTGCCAGGCTTCTCTTCCCCTTTCCAATATCAGAAACCAGCAAGCTTTGCAAGAACTTCATATCAGAGTAGAGACATTTTAAGATTTAAAAAAGAAAAATAAAGATTCTACACATCAGCTGAGATTAGACTTAGGCTGTTGACATTTTCTCCAGGGACTCCTTTATTTCACTGTTAACTTCCTTCAACCTCTTCAACAGAGTCAAAGTGATTTTACTACTGATCCATTAATCAGACATCTTATTCTCAAGTACATACCTTAATAAGTGTCTCCATAGCACTACTGAGAGCATGGTTCACAAGGCCATATTCAAATGAAGATTTCTCTGAGAAGAAAGAAAACATTCACATGAAGAAGTGAAACAAAATGGCTATTTTCATTTTGCATTATGGGACATTCAGATACTGACAAATATTTGAAAGAATTCAGCTTTAATTCAGAAACAACTGGATAGGATTACAATGGACTGAAGCTGTTTATTTCTTAATTATATAGCCACAATCCTTTTGTGATAACAGATAATCAGAGCCTAATTTTTGCACTTACCAGTCAGTGTTGCCTGCCTGCCTAAATTTAAAAAAAATAAAAAAAACTACTTCATCACAATCAACCAGTTCTGCTTCAGAGGTCCCGGGTAGTTAATGACTTTTGGATGATTTTTTCCAGGTCATGCTGGTGTGTTAGGAAACGAGCAGACAGACAGACTGGCCGGTTCTGCACCATGTGGTGGTGAACTGATGTATGACAAGCTAGATGTTATGAGGGCCCTTTGGGAGCGAGTGAACAGTAAGGAGGCTCAAAAAGATCATTAGTCTGAGGCAAATGGTGCTGTGAGGAGTTACCAGGGAATCTGGCCGACGTTCAAGGGAACACTCAAGGGAAAGGCGAGACAGATGTACAATCAGACAGTTATTGGTACCATTAGATTTGGAACTCTTGGCATGCTGTTAAAGATGGGGATGGAGTGCTTATGTGAGGTCCTGAGTGCTATGAGGTCGATTCTTAATTCAACACAGCAACCAATTCTGCAATTATTTAAGTTAACGTCGAGAGGACTGACTTCCTTCCCCATCTGGCTCGACCTCTCTCCGTAGAACACTCAGCTGCCAGCTGATGGAAAGCATGAACACTGTAGCTCCGGTGACAAAACTGCACTCATGAATTGATTTTTGCTGCTGTGAAACAAACCCATGACCTTCAGAGTGTAAGGTAAATGGCTTGACCACTTCGCCACAGAGACCCCTAAATTATTCAAGAGATAATCCAAACTAACAGGATCCTAACATCTATAGCAATAACAACAGAAGCAATGTTATACAAGATGCACACAAACACTAACCTTCAATAAACCTCACAACAATTGAGTAATTGGAACAGATGGGCAAAATCCTTTTCACCAGCTCCTGGACTGAAATATCTAAAATTTAATAAAAATAAAACAAATCAAGTTTACAATTTGGTAAATGTAGATTTGTCGATTTTAAACTTCTTGGCTTTTCTTCTTTGAGTTCACTGGCTGTAAACTCAAACTGAAAGTTCTGGTTGCTTGTCCACTTCTGGACTTTGGTTTTGTTCCAGAATGTGAGTTTTGCGTGCACATCTGGGTTTTTGTATGCAGACCGTTGGTTCCACGCCTTTGAGGCAGAAGCACTCCGATTTTGAAGAAAACACCCTTAATTAGTTACTTCTTACAACAGGAGAAGCAGTGGGTCCATTCTTTGTTCTCCAGATGGAGCCCTCTAAACCACAGGGAACCTTCTTGGTTTAGGATCACCTTGACTATTGATGGAAATTTCCAAAAAAGCTTCAGGTCTCATAAAAATTACACAAAAAGACTCCCAACATATTTCATGAACACCCTCACCTCAGCAATAATCAAAACAAATCTTTTTCTGTGTATTCACTGGCTGTAAACTCTGGCGGAAAGTTCTGGTTGTTCGTCCACTCTCGTTCCAGTACCTGAGTGTTGTGTGCACATCAATTTAACATAACTGACTTAATTGTATGCAGATTTTTGTTCTCTCAGGCAGATGCACTCCAACTTTGAAGGAAGCAACCCAAAAAGTCAACTTTACGACATGCTTGTTGGTGCGGCAGTGGGTCTTTTCTTGTTTTCCCCACAATGGGACCCCGGAACCCACACGGGGATCTAAACAAATGTATAGCAGAGTCAGTCTCTCTAATCACTTTTAGTATTTTTTTTTTTTTTAAATTAAACCTCAAATCCCCCTCCCCCGATTTTTAACATGCATAAGGGTCCTCAAGAGTAATTTTCTTTTAATCAGTGTCCAGGAAAACTAGATGTCCAAGAATATAGTCACCTTCAAACCATATCGCATTTTACTTGAGGCAGACATTTTAACCTCTAAGATTTGTGAAAACAGATGTTTTATTTAAATTAATAACCGGGTACACATAGACAAAAACTTCATCAATAACAATGAGAATTGATAAGTAACAAAAAGAAGAACTGTTATGTCAAAAAGAAATTTTGCCAGTAAAACAGTGGAATATAACTAAGTCTGTTACTAACCGACATTTCAGGAAAATAGTATTCAGTACTAAGCAAACACAACAGGAAAAAACTATTACCCAAACTCTGATCTATAAGGAATTCCTTGGCAGCATAACGTTCTGGAAGTCCTCGCGATATAATGTACTTTCCATCAATACCCTATAGAGAAGGACAATAACACTTTTTTTTATTAAATACAAATTTCTTAGGATAAGACAGAATTCAATACATTCAGAAGTTCTTTAATTAGTTTCAGTTTAAAAATTCATCACCATGTGCTACGATGAGCACAGAAAAGGCAAACCATGCTTCTGGAATTGGAGGTCTAGTGGTAGAATACTCACCTGCCATGCAGGTGACCCTTGTTTGATTCCCGGTCGATGCAAGTGTTTTCTGAGTGTGTGTGTCTGTATGTCTGTGTTTTTTTTCTTTTTCTCTACCCAGAAACCATGGTTTATGTTAACCCTTTGGCTCGCTACTATGGATATTGCAACCCTTCGGTCTCGATTCCATAATAGATACCATAAATCTGGAAATATTTGGCTTGTCTGCCTACCCCCGAGTGTGAAAGACCACAAGGAGTTTGTCACCCAGTTGCTGCTTACAATTTTATCAACACTTCTAGCATTTTCTCCCTCTTAGATCTGTCAATTACAGGCAGTTGTTACCTGAACACTGGTCTAAAGTTTGTATTATTTAAAACAACAATTTTAACTCCTTCCATACCATAAGGTCAAATTTGAGACCGTAGAAATATAATAAACGAACAGACAATATATTAATCGGCACTCATAGAAAGAAGTAGAAAGATAGACGGGGCGCCTAGTTGATCATGTTCTTAGTACCATTATGTTTCCATAGCGAGGTACACTCGCCATCTGGAGGTGACAGGCACGGTAACTATAGCTTTTGATTTTTATGTTATCTTGTGTGTCCTTCTATCTTTCTACTTTTTTCTATAACTCCTGATTATACACTGTTATTTATTATATATACACCCACAGAGCACAAATGCACATCCCTTGAGTTGCTGAATGTTTTAACATGCCCCGACCAAACATCAAATATACAAGCATAATAATATGTCAACTAATGCATGTAAGTAAACCAGTCACAGATGGTGTGCTCTTTAAGACTGAAAAGCTAGAACTGAAAAACAAAGTGTTGAGACATTCAAAATTAAAGCATCATTTGAGAAAGAGTGAGGTTCCGTGAGAGGAGAATTGATCAGAATGAGCATAGAAATTTGTGGCATATAAACAAGTAACCACTGAATGGACTGTGAGTGCTGTGGTACTGAGAATGTTAACAATCCTAGACCATTTTATACCCAGGTAGACTTATTACATAGATTAATGGTTTTTCTTAGCCAACAGATTATCCTCACTGCACCATTGAATCCATAAGTGCTTAGATCCCCTTAATAAATCCTGAAAAGAGTAGCAGCTGCGACACAAGATTTGAGTTGGTTTCTTGTTCTTCTTTGGCTTCCTGCATAGTGCTCTGGCCACACCTCTTTTAACTTGCTGCTCTTGCCGTCTTGTCATGGTTGTAGATTTACAGTCACTTTTGTCTTGCAAAAGTCTTACTTCTCATAGAGCATTCAGAATATTGTCATGGCCCCCCTTCACAGCAAGCCTATCAGTGTACTCATGTCCTGCAGGCCCTGGCAACAACAACAAGAAGTTATCTTTATCAGCTGTGACGGCCTTTCCTTACCTACCCTCATACACAGTAAGAGATCATCCAAAACAGCCTGTTCCTGAGTGTGAGGTGGCAGGGTTCCCAAAGCAACAATATTCTGAACATTTTGGGAGGAAGAAACAGAATGTTGAATACAACACTGTCAATTATCATACAATGAACAATAAAAACTGTTCAAAAACAACATTTTTCCTATAGTAAATTTAAAAATGCGCATAGGCATATTTTGTTCGGTCTCATCAGGTGCATTACTACAAATTACACAAACATATAAAGAAGCACAAAAGCTGAATAAATTATTCTGAAATGCAAACAGAAGGAATTCATTATAAATCTGAAATTACCCTGGTGAGTCATGTGACTATCCTGTAACTCTTGTAAAGCACCTGATGAGATAAAGCAAAATATGCAAGGCAATAAACTGTTTGTGTCTGCATTATTTAAAAATTCAAGTGTGTTGTTCTAGATTTCCACTACACATACTGTGAGGCGTTTCCAGATTTCCACTTCACATACTGTGAGGCGTTTCCAGATTTCCACTTCACATACCGTGAGGCGTTTCCAGATTTCCACTTCACATACTGTGAGAAGTTTCCAGATTTCCACTTCACATACTGTGAGGCGTTTCCAAATTTCCACTTCACATACTGTGAGGCGTTTCCAGATTTCCACTTCACATACTGTGAGGAGTTTCCAGATTTTCACTTCACATACTGTGAGGCGTTTCCAGATTTCCACTTCACATACTGTGAGGTGTTTCCAGATTTCCAATTCACATTAAGTGAGGCGTTGTTTTATTTCCTAATAAGATCCAGTTTTTAATCTATTAGAGGAATATGTTGAATGTTGAATTAAGAATCCACATCATAGCACTTGGGACACCCCCATAAGCGCTCCATCCCCATCTTCAGCAGCAAACAAAGAGTTCCAATTCCGATGGCACCAGTAACTGTCTGATTATTAGAGGAGTAACAAAATTATATGCTTGGGCAGTCACCCTTTATTATGCAGATTTCGCAGCCTAGCTGTAAACCAGCACACAATGTGCCAAATGCCCTTTTAATGGTGAAAGAAAAAAGGATCATACATAAAGTGCTGTCAACTTACTGTGTTTGTGGAGACTTCGGTCGGTGCAACAAAGTCTAATGTGAGGTAAGGCCTCTGGAACAGCCAGTCGGGTTGTTGTGGAATGTTCACTGTAAACAGATAAGCAGAATAGAATGTGAATTTCTATACCTAAACTGAAGGACCCTAAACTGAAGAATCGGAATACAGATCATTCAAAGATACTTAAAAAATAATTCAACTGTAACACACATTCTTCTGAATGTGTGTTACAGTTGAATTATTTTTTAAATGCTAATTTGCTGCACTTTACTGTTTTGTTTGACACAGAAGTCTTCTTCTTCTTCTTCTCAGCATTCACCGGCTGTAAACTCCGGAAGAAAGTTCTAGTTGTTCGTCCACTCCTGGACCGGTCTTGATTCACAACTTGAGCTTTGCATGCACATCTGTTTCACTTTTATGCAGACTGTTAGTTCCGTGCCAGATATTTTCTTCAAAGACATAGCTGTCTAAAAATTTTTTTATGGTGCAAATTATACTGAATTTAGTTTCAAAAAAAAAAAAAAATTCAAAAAAGAAAAGAAAAGAAAAGCAGTCAATTTTAGTACTTCTATCGTGCATTTTCCAAACATGCCATACAGTAAAAGTAAAAGTGAAGTAAAAACTTTCCTCGCCTTTAGGTGTATAGGGAATATAGGGCGAGACTTCTATTTTTATAAACCAATCAGCATAAGATATGCGATTTGGTCAGCATTACGCCGGCCACCTTTACTTCCAGGGACTGCAATCTGTACCCACTCAAGGCTGTGTCGATCTGGGAGTCAAGGTCATTTTTTGAAAAAAGTCAGGCTCTACCAGGTAGCAAACCCACAACCTTCCGATCCGCATGCTACGCCACAGCGACTCCCAAACATGTCATATATATTTCTATATACATTTGTCACCTTTTCTGGTCTGCTTCTTCTCCCGCAATGCCTTTGTCAAGAAATCTGATGATGGTTTGTCAACATTCTTTGCTTCCTTAAACAGAGTCTCTTTGATCTACAGATACAAAAGGAAGAACCAAATAATTAATCAGTCCACAAATACAAAATAAAGAACTAAATGATTAATCAGTCTACAGATAAAAAATGAAAAATCAAATAACTGATCAGTCTAAAGACAAAAAAGGAAAAACCAAATGATTAATTAGTCTGCAAACACTAAATGAAGAACCAAATGACTAATCAAAACAATAAAGAAGGGCTATTCAACAGGCAGCCTGCGGGCCAAATCTGGCTCGCGGAGGCCTAGCAATTGGCCCGCACTTAACTGCCAAATGCACTGTATTAGTGATATTTCTAAGTAGGAGCTCAGGCCTCAGGCTCACGAAGATTCACATTTTCAACATTTTGGTCCCTGAATAAACTTGAAGAGCACTGCAGTAAAGACAGTTCCTTTTATTTGTTAGTGGCGCATCAGGCATGAGGCTAGACTCATACTTTATAGACCAAAGGGTGATGTGGTCAACACACGCCAGCCACTTTTATTTCCCAGGACTTAACCTGCAACATATTTTAGGGCCGGGCCTACATGGGGGCCAAGATCCTGTTTGAAATAAAAAAAATTCTAGCTCTGTGCAGGTGTCAATCCACGATCTTTGGATTCGCAGATCACTTGCTAAAAATGTATCAAAGGAGAAACATCACAACCATCCATTGTCGTTACCACAAAATAGAACACTTATCAAAGGAAAATAGAAGGAACTGTGGAGAGAACAAACTAACAGTAAACATCCACAAGACCCCATCAGCAAACTCAGCAGAAAGCAACATACAACAATTTTCCGTCTACGAACAGGAAAATGCAGGCTCAACTACCACATGTATAAAATAAAGATTTTACAGTTCCCACAGTGAACATGTGGTCAAACAGGACCACAAACACCTGAGCACATTCTGCATACCTGCCCACTCTACATACAACTTCGAAAAGACAACTGGCCTCAAGAGCAAAGTGTGCAGAGCAAGCTATGGGGAACCATGAAAGACCTGCTACTAACATGTGAGTTCAAAGAGGCAACGCACCTGATGGTCTGAAATGAGCATATGAAACCGAACGCAAAGAAAAAGAAGAAGAATTATTTGCAGATGAGTGTTCAGCCCAGCGGTTCTCAAACTGGGCACTGCAGCAATGATCAAGAATTTTTCAAAATCGGCTTGAGACCAGCAAAGACAGCAGTTTAAAATAGAAATACCATGAGGGAAGCCAAGAAGAGTTCTGGATCAGGTATATTCAGAAAACAATGCTGTTAGCAAGGCTGCAGTGCATTCTCAACATACGCTTACAAAACAAACAAACAAAAAGCCGATGCAGGAACAACATACAAACAATTTGAGGGTACAATTAACTAAACTTCCCATAAACATAAAGGAAATAGTGAAAAAAAAAAAAAATTAATCTAGTTTTATTCACCGTATTAAAGACACTTGAACATTTAATCTGCATTGTTTTTTTTTTTTTTCCTAAGTATTCAAACCGCTTTAAGGGTAGTTGAGCCGCGGCGGAACAAGTTTGAGAAACCTGGTCTAGCCCCTACACCAAGACAGCTCTCAAACACTGTACCAGATACCTATAAGTTTGTGTCTACAAATTAAACATTACAAATGGTACAAGAGAGACAGTAAACAGTAGCACTGTAAGCTATCCCCCATACTGCAAGAAATGATCAATGATTACGGCTTGGAACAGGCTGGCGTTTTTCCAGACGATTGTGTTATATTGCGCTGTGAGGAGGCATGTGACTCACAGCCCATGGCGATGACGAGTGTGACTAGCAAGACCACCCGTGTCAAGAAAAGTCTGCCACAATGAAGCCTTTGGGGGGGGGGGGGGGGAGGGGGGGGGGGGGGGACGGACCATGCTACCCAAGCCCACACAAAAATTACCTGCAAATTGCAGCCAGCTATGAACTAGCAGAAGGCATAACTCCAAAATTAAACCAGTAGAAGATCTAGATGAAAAATGCAAAAAGATATGAACAAGCACACAACCTAGCCGCAAAATGTTATGTCTTCAGCTTATCAAGCTGGCTAGTCACAACACATTTTCATGTTTATCATATGGTTTTCCAGTTTGATAGACAGTGCATCATTAACTTTGTTCTACTCGTGTAGCTTCATTGTTTATTGTACATCATAGATCTGTCTGAAATGTATTATCTGTGCACACATCCTGAATTTAACAAAATGATTAGTTTATTACCTCTTCTCCCATTTCTAGGAATTTAAAATAGTCGATTAAGAGTTATACCTCAAACAATTCCCTTTCTGTCATCTTTGTTCCGGCTGCAGGCAGAAGACTGGTAACATTACTGTGTGGAATGAGAGTCAGGCCCTCCTTTCTAGCCTTGTCTTCAGCATTTTTAGCAAGGAACTCTTTTGTCTATTGGACAACATGTATTCACAATAACATCTGTCTCAAAAAATGTATAGTTAGTTGGTTTATGTTTGTTTTTTAAACTAAATACTCCCCGTGTGGGTTCTCGGGGCCCTACTATGGGAAAAACAAGAATAGGCCCACTGCCTACCCAAAAGCATGTCGTAAGAGTCGACTAATTGGGAGCTTCCTTCGAAGTCGGAGTGCATCTGCCTGAGAGGCAAGGAACCAACAGTCTGCATACAAATCTGTCAAACGGATGCACTCGCAACACTCAGGCCCTGGAACAGGGCTGCAGTCCAGAAGATGAACAACCAGAACTTTCCGCCGGAGTTTACAGCCGGTGAACGAGAACAAGAAAAAAGAAGAAACTAAATACAAACATTTATTTATCATACCCTGTATAAACATAAAGGAAATTATGGTTAATAAATACGGTATAACTCCTAAAAAAAAATATTTTCAAATTCAATTATGGACAATATCCCAGAAAGATTTTTATTTTACTACAAAATCTTGTTTTTACAGACAATGAGTAAAGAAATGAAGAAGAAACCAGAGGCAGTGGAGATGTGTTTGAAAGTAATATTGGAGTAATGGATGGAGAAAAAAATAAATGCTGAGATCTGAGAGTGGTAGATGTTCAAAGATCACTTTAAAATGCCATAAGGAAAAAGTTAAATTCATGAAAAAATTCATGAAAAAAGAAATGGGTCTTATAAAACGTGGAAAAGAGAACAAGAGGAAGACAAATGTGACAAGATATGTGGGGGACAAATAATAACACAAGTAACAGTAACTTAATCAAAACTTGATCTGACAGAGAGGATTTGAAAAAAAAAAAAAAAAAAAAAAAGCCATACACCGCCCATCTATATTCCCAACCAGGTTCCTAAAGATGGACAATACTTCTTTAACTGGTGCCTGGTCAGAAGCAGATGATGATCATCATTCTTTAACACTCTGTCAAATATCGTAATGACTGCATGTTGCTTTTTGTATACAGATTTCACCTGACCACTTCACCATTAAACATTTATGAACTAAATTTCTTCTTCACGTTTTTCGGCCGCAAATATTGACAGTTCACTTCCAATCTTTCCCACAATGGAGGAAGGGGGCGGGGGGTTGGGGGGGGGGGGGGGTTGACCGAATGCGCCCCAAACAAGCAGATTGTAAAAGCTGACATATTAGGAGTGTATCTGTCTGAGAGGCGAAGAACAATCATCTGCATACAAAAAAAGCATATCTGTAAAACAGATGTGCGGGAAAAATCCAAGTCCTACAGCAAGGCCAAAGTACAGAAGTGGGCAAACCACCAGAACTTTCTGCTGAAGTTTACAGCTGGCGAATGCTAAGAAAAAGAAGAATCAACAATAAACTTCCACCTGTATGGAACTAAACCACATTACAGCTCTTATAACTAATAAAATGTTTATTTTTTGTTCTCAGACTTCCTGTTGATGACTGAGTTGGCAACAAAATAGATAAAGTAAACAGGTACTAGAAAACTTACTTCTTTGTCTTCGCACAGCTTGGACAACAGATATACCAAAGGATCCAAATCTCTGACACTGAAAAAAAGATGCAAATACTGAAATATTAGAGAAAATTCAAACCTGAAATTAGAATAGACAATAAAAATATTCATTATAACGTATTAAATAGCATTGATTCTTTGCCTCTGTGTGTTATCTGACAGGGTGTTGGTGTGTTTATGTGTGCGTGTGAGCCCTTGTGGCCCTTTTTTAGCCTCATTTATGGTTGTGACCTTTTCTCTCTCACTACCTGATAGTTGTTTGGCCCAAAATGGGATCTAGGTACAAACTAGCAGGTTTTTCAATGTTTTATTGAAGCACAGTTAACCTTAAGTGAGGAATATCTATTCAAATGCAACTGATTAGCAATGACTGAAACTACACAGCTAAATTGAGGTTCAATAACATGTGCACCAGATAACTTCTTTCGATCTCCTTGGAATTATCTGGGAAGAGAAGGTACTCTCTTCACCTTAGCGTTCACCAAATGTAAACTGACAGTAAGTTTTTACTGTCTGTCCACGTCTACACGCTGATCTTGTTCCAGAACTTGAGTTTTGTATACACATCTGTTTTACAAATCTGTCTTATTTGTATGCAGACTGCTGGTTCCTTGCCTCTCAGACATATGCACTAAGACTTCAAAAGAAAAACCCTTAATTAGACACTTTTTATACACCTATTTGGCAGTGTGTCTATTCTTTCCAAACTGGGGCCTAGGGCAAACTTAAGGAGAAACGGTAACAAGAAAGGGAAATTCTGTTGGTCTAGAACTGAGGTGGGAAATATTCAGCCTGCAGGCCAATGAAATTATTTGGACTGGCTGTGCCAAAGCAACCACAGGCAAAATTACACAATTCAATAAATTTAGGAGCTTTATGCATAGCAACGTAAATGTATACTGAGTGAATCACCAGTGGTTACCACTATGCCTATGCAAGTCATGGGCAATGACAACAGCTCACAGAAGCTAGCTTCGGGCCTCAGAAATGAGATATCTGAAAAAAGGTGGTCCAAGTGACAAGGGACAAAGTTCGCAATCAGACAATATGTTGAGATCTTGAAACCCAGGCCTTAGAAACTTGAATGGATTAGTCAGTTACGATGATTTGGACATGTATGCAGAATGGGAGAGAATCGACCACAATGGCAGGCGAGGAAGGCTTAGAACCAGGGGAACCAGACCTCCAGAGTTCGCTGGAAAGACAACATCCGACAGTCCCTGACTGACAGAGGACTCGAATGGAACAAAGCCAGAAAGAAAACTGCTGATAGAAAAGTCTGGTGATCTATCTGGCAAACCTCTATACCCCAACGTAGAAGATAAGCAACTAAGTCAAGTAAAGTAGTGAATCACCAAAGAAAAGCAGTTCTAACCATCACATTAGGTGGTGAGCAGATTAAATATTTGATAAAAACAGTGTACCTTCAGTATTTTGTAACTAATTAAATTTGAACAGAGATATTCAACAGTTTATGTCAACAGTGCTGCAATAAAATATTGAAAACCTGCTGGTTGGCATCTAGATCCTATTATTAGCCAAGGCAACTATAAGATGGTGAGAGAGAAAAGGTCACAGCAATAATTTTTACAAGCTAATTTTTATTTTATTTTTACTGACAATTTTGTATGTCTAATAAAAGATGTTATAAATATCTGATGGCATTCAGGACACAAAACATTCTCCAGCACTGGTCTTGAATATAAGACGACTAACTTTTCTTTATGTGAATTATTTCTCATGGACCACCTTTCCATGTTACACATATCCCCGGGATCAAACATATAGTTCGTGAATAATATGCCACCATGTATATGTTTTTAGTTTGGTTTTTTAAAACCCAAAATTAGGAAATAAATATTTTAATCAGATTCATTTTTAAGATGACACCCCAATTTTAAAGTTTAAAATAAAAACCCATACAAACTGGACAAAATGTAGAACACTGGTCTCAGATTCATCACTGGAGGTATGAGAAGCACACCAATAAATGAGTTGGAGGCAATTTCTGGCCTCCAGAGCTTGATCCATCAAAGGGAAGAAAAGGTGCTTACCCTAACAGAACAATTTTAACGCATGAACAACAACCCCACGCACAGAATAGCAAACAATTTAACTAAAAACCGACTGAAAAGACAAAGCTTCCACCATTTATCAAAACTGTCCTACGCTGAAGCTTTTCATGGAATGGTGTGGCCAACCTCAAGACTAAGTCTCCTTAATTACCTCTTATGACATGCTTAGCAGATTAACATATGAGTGGTGTATTTAAAAATGTATCAATAAGTACATCATAACTAATGTTCAACATAAATATAATGAATAATACAATTTATAGTATACTTACTTCTTCCCTTTGAGCTCATCATATTTGGCAAAAAACTCAATCGGCTTGGAGGTGGATTCTGCAACTTTCTTTTTAGCCATGGACGAGGCCATCTACAAATGAATATGGATTATGTGACAATGAAAGCCGTCCTTAAAAAAATCACAAATGTAAAATTAGCATACAAGAAATTATTAAGGTATATGTTAAGGCAAATCAAATCATACGGCAGATGTCACCAGTACTGTAGAACAAAATGTATGTTAAATATTTGTAAAGCTATGGCATTTTTAGAACACACTAAAATGTGTGGTATCTGGAAAAGTGCAAGGGTTAAAGGGTTTGGTAGTCTGTGGGTTAATCAAAATTTTAGTCCCCCGTGTGGGTTCCGGGGCCCCATTGTGGGAAAAACAAGAATAGACCCACTGCCTCCCCAAAAGCATGTCGTAAGAGTCGACTAACTGGGGAGCTTCCTTTGAAGTCGGAGTGCATCTGCCTGAGAGGCAAGGAACCAGCAGTCTGCATTCAATTGAATCAGATCTGTAAAACTGATGCACACGCAACACTCAGGTTCTGGAGCAGGACTGCAGTCCAGAAGTGGACGAACAACCAGAACTTTACACCAGAGTGTACAGCTGGTGAACGCAAAGAAGAAGAAGAAGAAGAAAATTTTAGTTTCATTAACAGGATTCAGTTAGGTAGATAACACAGCAAAGGCTGCACACATAAGACAATAACAAAATGTAGAAATAATAAATGTTCTTACTGTCCATGCTATATTATAATGGTAATCATATGTGAACAGAAAAAAATTCCTAGAATACTATGAAACAAGAACATGAAAAACACTATACATCCTACATGATCTGAGTGAGCATCAAGAAGAGATGGCTCATAAACAGAATCCTGTCCTGAAAGCTGGACATGTTAAACATCGCGGTGGCCTGGAGAGAACAGTTATGGAGGGTAGAGTTTCTGGAAAAAGAGACAGAGGCAGACCTCTGCCACAGTGGTCACAAGACACTAAAAATATACTGGCTATGAAATCATATAGGGTTGGAGAATTTGTTAGAGCAAGGCAGGCTTTCAGGTGTGCTATGAAGAATGTGATGTAAAGGGCCTTCTGATTGATGATGAATCAAGTCTGTCCAGAGCCTTATGTTATGTGCACTCTGAAACAGATGTTTTTTCGTCCCATGATGCCTCCCTCTGACTCTCTTTGCCCCTTAACTTTCCTGTTGTCACAGCTAACTTTAGTTTTCCTCTTTTCAAGATGTGCCACAGACTGTGAATAAACTTAGTGCATGTAAGTCAGTTCTCTTTGCATCCCGTGTGGGTTCCTGGGCCCCATTGTGGGGAAAACAACAACAGATCCACTGCCTCCCCAAAAGCATGTTGTATGGGGTTGATTAACTGGGGGCTTTCTTCAAAGTTGGAGCGCATTTGCCTGTCAGGCAAGGAACCAAAAATCTGCAAACAAATAAATCAAATCTGTAAAACAGATATGCACGCAACACTCAGGCTCTGGAAGAAGACTACGTCCAGAGGTGGACGAACAACCAGAACTTCCCACCGGCGTTTACAGCAGATGAATGCGAAGAAGAAATTCTCTGTGACAGTTAACTACTTTCAAGACTTCTTTATTTAACCATTAGGGCATTAAATATATGACCCAAACTGTGGACTTACCAGTTCTGTATTGAAAGGGGTTCGACTACTCAGCAACCTTTCAGTATACACCTCCTCTCCTACTGTATCTGAAGACCTGACACTGATTCAGGTTGGAAAAACAAGCCAGTAGTTAAAACCAGTCTTTTCATATTTTCACATGTTAAATTCACTACAACAGTTACACTTTACATTACTGAATGTTAAATTAGTTATAACTGCAACACTGTACATTCTCACAATGTTAAATTCATTATATTATTTTGAACAAAATATAATTGGTGTGATGTTGACCACGTTACCTACTGAGTGCTGATTCCTCATCATATGCCCTGCCAACTGGCGTAGGCGCTCATGCGTCTCCACAGATCATGAACCCTGGTTGCCTGGAACAGCTCTCTTAATATCCCTCCATGCCATCGTTTCAGCCCATCCAGCATCATCTCTTGGTCTGCCTCTACCCCTTTTTCCACTGATCTTTCCAGTTGTCACGATATCCTCCAATGTCTTCCTTCGCATTATGTGGCCAAAGAACAGTGTTTGTCTCTTTTCTGATTGTCGTGAGTGCCGATTGGTCTATTAGATATAAGTCAAGCACTTGATACTCAACGCGCCTATGGATGTCGAAAAGGGTCCTTTACTTTTTTCATCTTAATTAGCATTCAGCAGAAAGGAACATTTGGTCAAGCTAAGCTATTTGGATGCAGAGCTTTCAATCAGGAGATCCAGGTTTATATCCTCTGCAAGGTGATGTGATTTTATCTGTCAGAGGGGAGGAATCCTATCTTGTACACCTCTTAGCCACTGCACTAGCCATGCAGTCCCTGCGTATCAGGACAGTGGTATCAGAGCCTTACGTTGAATGTTGAATTAAGAATTGACATCACAGCACCACCCCCGTAAGTGCTCTGTCCCCATCTTCAGCAGCAAGTGAAGAGTTAAAATTCCAATGGTACCAGTAACTGTCTGATTGCATACCTGTCTCGCCTTTCCTCTAAGTCCCGAGCATCGGTCAGCCTTAAAACTGGTATAACATTTGTGTTTTTATGCGTGGAAAATGGGGTTGTGCTTCAGAACTATTCAGTAAGAAAACATAAATACAAACTGAAAATGTGGCTGAGCTTTAGAACTATTTAATAAGAAAACATAAATACAAACCACTATTGAATGAAAAACAGCTAATACGGAAACGTACCCAAGCAATGTCATTAGTTGACTGACATGGTGATGAAGTGTGAATTCACTCATGGTAATGTCTGATTTTATCTGCAAAAGAAAAGAATGTCAATGTTAGGTTACATCAAATGTTTTCAAGTAAACTGGTTTAGCTGTGCATCAGACAGTACTCCACAAGAAGCCGTAAAAAAACTGTCACTGCTGTCTGTATGTACCACTTTTAGGGTTGTGTAGGCATGGGGTCGTGAGCCTGAGGTTTTAGGGCTGCATGGCTAGTGTTGTTGCCACAACTGTGAAGGTTAGGATGTTTAATTCTGCCCCCGATTAAAAAAACTCCATCAGCTTACCGGGAGTCAAACCCGGGTCATCCGCATGACAGCCCGACATTGTAACTATTCGGCCAGCCGCTCCTCACACAAGAAGCAATGGCAAATATTGCACCTGCACAGAATGGGTAAATAAGATACTGTTTCAAATAGATGTGAGTTTTAAGATAAAGCTTATAATGTGAAGATTAACCAATAAGCATACAAGGAAACCTGATGAATGAATAAGAAATTCAAACCAAGGCCCAAAAATTGCAGATGTACAGGGTCTCCTCAACCTACAACAAAGTTTTATTCTAATTAACAGGTCGTGATGTTGAATTGGTCGTAAGCTAAATGTATATTTTTGTTCACTATTTTCATTCACAATTTAACATTGTGAGAATGTACACTTTTGCTATTATAACTAATAATACTGAACATCTAGGAAGATTGGCTAATAAACAGCATCCTGTCTTGGAAGCTGAAATATTTTGGTCATTTCAAGCGCCACGAAGGATTGGAAACAATTATAGCAGAAGGCATGGTACCAGGAAGGAGGGGCAGGGTCTGACCCACACGAAGATGTGCTCAGGTTATAAGTGACTCCTTTAGTATGAAAGTACATGAGGCGGGACAGCTGACGAGAGACCAAGTTTCTTTCAGGCAGATCGTGATAAGAGCGACGTTCTGCAAAGGACCTGCTACATGATGATGATTTTCATTCAAGCAGACTATAAAAACTACACGAAACATAAAAATTCAGCCTTTATATATATATAAAATTAGACCTGCTGTTCTATAGGCATGCAGCTATCTTTCTTTATTTACTTGTTTTGTGTGGTTGTAAGATAGTTTAAGTCACACAGGTCGTAGGTCGAGGAGCACCACTGGGTGGTGAACTGATGCATAACAAGACAGATGTTATCAAGGCTCTTTGGGAACAAGTAACGGAATCAGTGGAGAAACAAGTTTATTATGGCCTGGAGAGAATGAGGCACCTGAGTGTAACCAGAGGATTTGGGCAACTCGCTACACTCAGAGGACCTATAATTAGATTGTGACCGGTACCATCAGTATTGGAACTTTACGCTGGTTGCTGAAGATGAGGACGGAGCACACATGGGAATGCCCTGAGTACTGTGATGTCAATTCTTGACTTAACTAACATCTGCCAGTTATCTCATCGAAGTGTTGGCAGGAAATGTATGGTTTGGATTTGCAGTTTCAAGAGTTTGTCCCCTCTAGGATTGCAGTACACAGGGTTACCACCTCAAGTAAAAGAATCCTATGTATACATTACATTAAATCCTGTAAGCTTTAATTCAACTGAAAGGCAACGGCTATATAGGTAACCTTGACAGTTACGAAGTGGTAACCTGCAGTCCAGACCAGGCAGGGATGTTAAAAGGCTTGTAAGTTGTAAGGATTTTCTGCGTGGAAACCAAGTTCACCAACTTATTCCAGCAGGTAATATGAATAGGAATAACAATTAATATTTGAAATATTTATAGTATGTTCTGGTCTTGTCTTCTAGTGAACTCGACTGAACAGTATTTTACTATTTTAAATTTATTCAAAACACATATGATTACCATTATAATATAGCATGGACAGTAAGAACATTTATTATTTCTACATTTTGTTATTGAAGACGTAACTTAACTGGGTTTTAACAATGATAATCCCTGACGTCCAACACGATTCCATGAACTCGAAGGTAAAGCACTTTGGGGTGCTGTCTCCCAGGTCAACATAGGAGATATTTTAACCAACTTGTCATGTCACAGCAGAGGCCAGAGGCACCCTGGGGTGTCTGCTGCACTGGAGGACTGAGCAGACACAGATAGGCTGATCAGATGACCAAGACCATTGTGCAGCTACGTTGTTTTCAACAAAACACAAAGTCCCCGTGCGGGTTCCAGGGACCTGTTATAGGGAAAACAAGAACAGACCCACTGCCTACCCAAAGCATGTCGTAAGAGTCGACTAATTGGGAGCTTCCTTCGAAGTCGGAGCGCATCTGCATAGAAGCAAGGAACCAACAGTCTGCACACGAATGTGTCAAATCTGTCAAACGTATGCACACGCAACACTCAGGTTCTGGAACAGGACTGAGTCCAGAAGTTAACGAACAACCAGAACTTTCCACCACAGTTTACACAGCTGGGTGACGCAAAGAAGAAGAAAACACAAGGCAAAAGTACGACACGACCGACGGCACATTAAGACCACACAGAAAGTAACTGCACCAACATTTCGATGATATGAATGTGACTAGAGAAAAACAGAAAAACAGTAACTAAAATATTTAGTATTTAACACTACACACTATTTACCTACAACCTTTCCCGCTTTCCTTTTTGGTTGTCAGGTTCCTACATCTGGTTTCCGGTCATAACACAACATTTTTTTTTAAGCTAATTACTAATATCTATAGAGGATTTTTTAAATATGTTTATAATATTATTAATCTCTCAATTTAAAGGTTCAGTATTTTAATTAATAATACATTTCTATTTCGAAAAAAAAAATGTAAAAGTGTACAATGGAATCGCGAGAGTTGCCGTTTCGATAGTAAACAATATGGAGACAAGATCAGGCCTGGATAGCTCTTTTCCTTGTAGTATTTGTTGGAATTTCTGTTAATTAATATTCCTGATTTACTGTATACACTCAGTGGTGATCTATATCTCATAAATTGATGAACTTTAATTTGATAATGATTGGACTTGAAAGGAAAAATAGTTTATGCCACTGGAAGATCCAAAATAAAAAAAGCATAGTTTAGTCTGTGAGTTTAGACTTAAGAGGAAAATTTCAAAACATATTTTGGAACCAAACAAATGACGACAAAAATAAATAAGTAGCACAATAATACTTTTGTGTGTGTAGGAGCTTAAATGTCGATTTGACAGCTCTGTTCTATTTACAAGCCACTATTCAGCTGGGATAGTTTAATTTACAAAAACCCCATTAACTTGGCTACTTAATTTCTGCATCAGTCAGAATCATCAGGAAAGTGAGAGACAGTTTGTTTCCTTTACAGAAATACAATTCCTGCTAATATGATTATTAGCATATATTGAATATTGTTATACACAGGAAAGTAGGTGTTTCTTTACAACCTCATGCTAGAAAATGATGATAGTAGGACGATATCGACCTGTATTGTTGTTGCAGTATCTGTTGCTATGTGTGGATATTTTCATGAATGCCTTCACAGAATTGCTCCGATTTCAGAACGTGGTACTTTTGGTGTTATATGTGTAAGTAGCGCATTTTAGGATTTGGTACAAATAATAACTATCACCCCTTCTCGTGGCCGTGGGATTTTGTAGGGGATTACCTGGGAGACTCCTGAGTTCCTCATTTTGACCATTTCCAGGAGATCCATGTGCAGTGACAGCCACCGCCAGTTAGCGTAACAATACAGTGCTTCCCCAAAAACAAACCTGTGGCAACCGCTTTTTGACATGGAGTGTACGCAGGCAAAGCAAGCCACATCGTAACACCCCCACAGCATAGGACAGCCCATGACAACTAGGTGGATATATAAGGGGGCCGGCACGAAATCTCATGCACGAGCAAGAGGGAGTGACTCTTGTGATAAATACAAATGCTTTTACCGTTACCTTTTTATATTCACTTCGAAGTATATTTTTATCCCTACTGTCACTAATTATTTTGTATTAATTGACGAAAATTTGGTATATGTGTATTGTACTTTTATTATAATTAAAGAGAATAAATGTACCCTTTTGATATCAGTTGGCAGTCATGTTTCGCTATGTTACATAATCATCAGAATCATAGATAAGATCAGTGCTCTTGTCTTGTCCCATCCATATGACCGAGCCATCTAGTTATTCATCTTTTTGCATTCCCCTTGCTCTTTTCCCATCAGTTGTGCCAGTTGTTGGGTACCTAGAAATATTGTTTTATCTATCTTACTTTTACTGAACACATAAACCTTGATAATGAATTCTAAGAGGGACATAACTGTGGATGAGGGTAGTAACTATGAAAAGCTGCAAGCAACATCACACTAAGGAATGCCTCTGGTCCTTTCTGTGATTGAGTAAGCTCTGATGATTGCGACTCAGCCTTGCACAGATAGAAAGACTGCAACTGATACAGATTAAGAACAAAGTTATGCATTTCGTACTTTGATGCACAAAAGGTATAGTTAGTGTCCACTGTTTTAAACCTTCTTGATTTCTCAGTCACATAAGACAGAACAAGAATTTGCAAAATACATGCCTGCTTTTTAAATCAGTGCTGACGCACATTATCCACTGCATACTGAGATTAACAATCAGAGAGAAAAAACCAGCAAGTTTTAAATCCATGTATGGGCAAAAGAAGCACCTGTCTGTCTTACAAAGCAAGGATTGGCTATGGTCTCCAGTGTGATTAATTCTTTAGACAACTGTAAACTGTGCTTGCTACAAGACTGCAAGATTATCCCAGCATTTCCCTACAGTGAAAGACATCAGTGTTTAAAATCAAGAAATCACCATTTAGCTCTTGAGCATGCGTGGAATAAGTGTATTGTGCCTACAGTGATAGCAGACTGCCTTGTGGCAAACTACTTAATGTAAAATTTCCTAGTGGAATTACAAACAGCCAAATTAAATGCTATGGTTGATTATACATCATGTAAAGGATACACAGCTTTCTTAACTTGCTCATAAGGATGAAACCAGGTTTCCAATTCTTCAGGTTGTACATGAGAGAACAACTCAAATAAATGAATTTTAAACGACACAAACAAAGCAGTACATGAAACAGTTACAGAATTGTAATAATCTATTGTACATTGTTTAATACATAAACATGACAGTGTTTACTGTTATTTATTTTCAGCATACAAGACTTCTGCCTGGTGTTTGCTGTCATCATCATCTTTCTTTTGTTCTTTTCCACCTTCATCTTCCAAGCTGGACTCGTCAGCATTCTTGTGTCAAAGTTCAAGGTTGCAATATCAGTGACATTTATTTATTTTGCACTTTGTCTGGCTCTGCATATTTGGACGATGGTGAGTTATAATAGTAGCCATCTTGTTTTGTTTGTTTACCATATTATAATGAATATTTTAGTTTATATAGCAACTCTGCAGCACAAAGTAAATACTCATGTACATAACTGAGCACACAGTTAATTAGTCTTCTTCTACTTCTTTGCTTTTGCTAGCTATAAACTCCATCTGAAAGTTTTGGTTGTTAGTCCTTTTCCCGACTTTAGTCTTGTTGCAGAATTTGACTTCTGCTTGCACGTCTGTTTTATAAATCTGGCTTATTTGTAAGCAGACTGTTGATTCCTCATCTTTGAGGCAAATGTCCTCCGACCTAAAAAGCAACACCCCTAATTAGTAAACTTTGCATGCTGGGGAGGCATTCTGTATGTTATTTTTCCCCCAAAGAAAGGCCTGAGAACTCACACAATAAAGCAGATTAGTGAGAAATTATTTAGAAGCTGCAGATGTGGTTTTTATACAATAAGAATAAGAACACCATGGGCATGTAAAAAATTTGAATGGAAGATGTATAAAACAAATTTACATATGAAGAGAACTGTTTACCAATTTCAAAAATAGATAATCGGCCCTCTTTGGATATGATTTGAGAAGGGGAAAACTGGGGTGCATTGTGATAACAGAAAAGTTGCATGGAAGAAGTGTCAGTGGAGACCAAGATAGAAGATATTACAGTTTGACATCATGGCAGGGAGGGACATCTATAACAACCCATGAGTGAACATGATGGCTACCTGATATGGACCCTAACAAGAATTGGTACTCTTTTATGTCTGTTGCACTTGTAACATGTGAAAAGTAGAGCGGTCATCTTTGAACTTTCATTATGATGTCACCTTGTTGTCTGGACCATGCTTAACACTATTGTTATCCTTAACAACAATATTGACAGGTTACAAGACAATAGCTGGTTATTGTAAATTGTATGAACTTCCCTTTTCAAAATGGCGAATAGCAACAGTGGTTTTTTTTTCCTTGACGGTTGTGAATTCTCTCAACCCTTATCATGGACTGCTATTGTATGAGCATTTCCAACGCATGATACTAAAATCGAGTCCACTTAAAAAGAACTCGGTTAAGTCGACATGACCAGCTTAGTCCTGGCAATTTTCTCTATTGTGTGTGCTGTCTGGATCAGTAGAAATCCTGATAAGTGGAAGCATTTTCTTAGGTCCCTACGACTTCTATTTATCCAGTCTCGACTCTATGTATTTTTCGTGGGAGCAGCGTGTATTGTGGTTGTTTTGTCGGGGCAGGATAATGACTGATGTTTTGGTCTCGCTGCCTTTGCCTTATTTTGATCATGGTGGCCCACTATCTGGGAAGACAGAATCTCCTCAACAGGAGACTGCAACTGTCACAAGAGTAAATTCGATCAAAACTGTTGCCAGAAACAGAATGTGTCAACCATTTTTTTTTTTGCGTCGAGAGGAATCGACACATACAGTTAACTGTATGACCATGCACAAATATTTATCCAACTATGGTACTACCGTGTTGGGTAACAATCAAGTGGAACCAAGACTCGCTGTCTCATCTCAAACAGGTTTACCCTTAGCCACCGACCACCCTGCGGCTTCCTGCGTTGCTCGGGGAGGACACGGTATCACTTCTAACTGTGAGGAAACACTTCCACCACTGGTAATCATGAAATGGAACACTGAAGGTGTATTTAATTAAAATAGAGAACCAGAGGAACACCTGTGAGCAGAGAAAGTCAATATTATCTACATTCATCACACACACAGATGTTAATAAAGAGCAGACCGAGATGCCCAGCTTGTTATAAAACAAACTCCGGTACCTTTATAAAATTATTTAAGACACAGTGGGTAAAATATTAAATGAGTAAATCCTTTGTCTAATTTAGTGAGTATTATTAATGAAATGTTAAGAATGTTCATTTAATATTTTTTTTAACTGAATGAGTGAATTTCCTATGTGGGTTCCAGGACCCCATTGTGTGGAAAACTGCCTCCCCAGTAAGCATTTTGTAAGTGCAGACTAATTGGGGTGCTTGCTTTCAAGTTGCAGTGCATTGGCCTGAGAGGCAAGGAGCCAGCAGTCTGCATACTAATAAGTCAGATGTGTAACATGGATGTGAATGCAACACTCAGGTTCTTGAACAAAACTAAAGTCCAGAGATGGACGAGCAACCACAACTTTCTACCAGAGTTTACAGCCAGTGAACGTGAAGAAGAAGAAAAATGAATGAACTAAGAATTGACAACACTGCACTCAGGATATTCCCCCACGCACACTGTCCCCTTTCTCAGCAGCCAGCAAAGAGTTTCATTGTGGGTAGTGTCAGTTTCATTCTTATGGCTTTTTTTAAAGTCAATCCTTTGCTATAAAAAGGATAAACCATTATATATATATATATATACATTCATTTTGTTACAGAATCTCAGATGGGGGGATGTGAACTTCTACATTTGGGATAACAGAGGCTACCATGTTCTTTTTGCTTTCCAGAGGATAGGTACATCTTTAGTTTTCTTGTGAATTTATGTTAAGATTAGTGAGTGGCACTATTGTTTGTGATATGTTAGGGAAAGGAATGGACTTGGAAATGTATGGCAACTGACAAGATTAATGTGAAAAAAGATGAAGGGAAGGACAAAAGGGATAAATACCTGGATAGCTTGACCATGTGAACGGAGTAGGACTGGAGCACTGACCTGATCAGTTATTGTGTTGGATGGGGAACCAGGACTTCCTATGCTTAATAATGATGATGTCGGGATCTTGTGTTAAGCAGTAATGAAACACTATCTTCTTCTTTTTAGCATTCATCTTAACATTCTGCTTATTTCTGTGCAGACTGTTGGTTCTTTGCCTCTCAGGTAGATGCACTCTGACTTTGAAGGTAATGCCTTTAACTAGTCGCCTCTTACAACATGCTTGTTAGGGAGGCAGTGGATCTGTTCTTTGTTCTCCAAAGTGGAGTCCCACAACCCACAATGGGAGCACTGCTTCTTATCCTGCATGTTGTGAGAGGCAGCCAGGAGGATTTATATGAGACTGGCTTTGATATAATGTAGACAACTTTAGCCACAAAACTGAACCACCATAAACATGTCTAGCATGAAGATGTTTGCAGAATGTCTAATGACACTTTGTCAAGAACAGGTGACCTAAGAAAATCTGGAAAAGGACAGTAAAAAGGGAAATGAAGGAATGTAAAATGACATGGTATATCACAGGCAGAAAAGCAACAACAACAAAAAAAAAAAGGTAAAGTCAGGAGATGTGAACCAGCGTCATTGCACATGGTTATAAACCATAAGTGCTCTGCCACCAGTACGGACAGCTGATAAGAACTGTCCGACATGCAGAAAAGCAATGAACCTGCAGCAATAGAGATCACTGTGAATGCCTTATATGTCAACAGTGACATCAGAGGATATAGATAGATAAACATGTCTACAAAAGGTTTAATGTGAATTAACTGATGGTCTTTACTCCATTTGGATCAACTTATTACCTCATACAACATCAGAATAGTGATGCAGTGGATTCCAGGTCACTCCGGCACACCAGGTAATGACAGAGCTGACAGATTGGCAAAGAAAGGAGCAACACAAGAACAACCACCTACACCAACAACCCTACAGACAGCAAAAACACTTATAAGAGCTATAAATAAAGAGACTTGGTTGAACAGATGGGCCATGGGAGACACTGGAAAAGAGGTTTATAGACATATGGCTGGCCCTATGACAGCATTAACCATCTAACAAGAAGGGACCAGGCCACCATCTTCAGACTTAGAACGCAACATACTCCACTCAATGGACATCTAAACAGAATACAGCCACAACACTCCCCAGAGTGCCAGCTATGTAACTACCCCTACGAAACTGATGAACACCATCTCTTTGAGTGCCCAAAACTCAGTGAGACAAGAAGAGCGCTACTCCCTCCGAGACCAGACAAGTGGAACACCTTGTACGGAGGAAAAGAACAGCTTGTGAAAACATGCAAATTCCACTACATGGCATTGGGCCAAAGGGCGAAAGCTCATGCGCCACTGGATCGATAACAACAACAACAACTCCATTTGGATATGAATAACAGAAGAAGTTTATAATAAAGGCTCTTTCACTAGCATAGAAATCATAGACACAACTTGACAAATTCAGGCAAGCACGAAGTTAGGAAAATATTCTCACATTGGGTAGGACACTCTAAGAAAGCTTGTTAATAACAATAATATAATGTTGATCTTCTGGAATCCACAAGTTGACAGAAATATCTTTCTTCTTCTTCTTAGTATTCACTGACTGTAAACTCCAGAGTTATGATTATTTGTCCATTTCTAGTAGGGCTGTACCAAATAGTGATTTTCACTATTCGGCCGAATACGAATAACGGGACCAACTATTCGGCCGAATACGAATACGAATAGTGTATAAATATATCTTTTAAAAAAAACACACACATACACATTCTTAATGTCAAGTGTATGCTGAACTTTTACTTCACAAGAAGTAGCACAGAATAGTCATTTTCTTCTTTCGATTTCTGAGCCCTTGAGGTTTACTGCTGCAGATATCACTCGTCTCCATTCATCTCTCTGGCTGGCCTTATCTTCACAATTTGTGACACCAATTGTTTGCAGGTCTGGCGGGACATTATCTCTCAAACTTATTTTTTGTCTACCTCGTGGTCTACGCCCATTCCTCTCTCAGGTATTTACGGTTTTACTTCTCTATCATATGACAATCTTTCAAAATGCCCCAACCAATTTAGTCTGTTAGCTCTCGTGATGCCAGAGATCAATGGTGATTTAAACAGATTATGTGTTACGTTGTTGCTTCTCACTCTCCATTCCTCGCTGTTAGCATCTTTGATGGGTCCAAAGATTTGTCTTAAGACTGGGTTCGAAAACCTGTAATAAGGCCTCATCTATTTTATTTTTGCTTCAAGTTTCAGAGCCATATAAAATGACTGGTCTTATCAATGTTTCATATATTTTGATCTTGGTGTTGCGAGACAGCACTTTGACTTTAGCAGATGTTGAAGGGCATAGTATACTATATTTCTGGATTGTATTCTAGATTGTATTTCTTCTTTCATCATGTTGGAGCAGTTGAATTTTGCAAGCAAGTACTTACATGTTTCCGTTCGTTTGATTTTCATATTATCGGCTTGGATGTGACCGGAGTTTATACATTTAAAAACACTTTAAGTTTTGCAGCCTTCAGTCAGTCTGTGGTAACTAATAACTAGGAATGAAAGAATCCTAAGTAACTAAACTTGGAAATTGTCACTGACAGCTTAGTTAATGCATGAAAGCTGCATTAGCTTTCAACAAAACCAATCGTTCCATGTTGTCAGCCGTGTATGCAGAAGCAGGTGTAAGGTAACTACTATTCGTATTCGGCCCGACCGCAACTATTTGGCCGAATAGTCAATAGGTCCACTATTCGAAAGCGAATACGAAGTGAATATTCGGTACAGCCCTAATTTCTGGACTTTGGTCTTGTTCCAGATTGAGTTTTGCATGCATATTCATTCTTTCAGACCTGGCTTCTTTGTTGGCATAATATTGGTTCTTGGCCTCTCAAACAGGTGCACTCCAAATTTGAAGGGCACTTCCCTAATTAGCCGACGTTTATGACCTGCTTGTTGAGGCATAATGGTACCCCGTAACCCACCGGGGATGAAAAATATAAGCCAAAAACACAAGGTTAAGAGAATTTGTATCAAAGTTAAGAAATACTGAAAAGACATTGAAGGAACTACAAGAAACAGTAGGAAGGCTTAACCTGAAATCATTGAGCGTCCATTCTCCATTTGGTAATACAAAAGAGAAGATGTATAGATATATATCTCTGAGGTTGAACTAACAACAAAATTCTTCTTTGTCTTCTTCTTCGCCTTCACCTGCTGTAAACTCCGGTGGAATGTTCTAGGTGTTTATCCACCTCCGGACTTTAGTCTTGTTCCAGAACCTCAGTGTGGTTTGCAGATCCATTTAACAGATCTGGCTTTTTTGTAATGTTGAATTAAGAATTGACATCACAGCACTCACATAAGTGCTCAGTCCCCATCTTCAGCAGTGAACAAAGAGTTTCAATTCTGATGGTACCAGTAACCGTCTGATTGTATATCCGTCTCATCCTTCCTGTAAGTGTTGAGCGTCGACCAGATCCCATGGTAACTCCTCGCAGCGCCATTCTCCTTAGACCATAATGATCTATCTGCGCCTCACAACTTGTCACAATAAGTTTTTAACACTTATCATCAGTGATGGTCATTTGAGAATTGTGCTACTCTTCACTAAGATGCCTTTTGTATAATTTACATGTAAATTAAAAAACCGAACAAGTTTTCTTTTCTATGTCCTTTTTTGTTTTAAACAGTTTGAAAATGATTTATTTTATTGTTGTTTTTTTTCCTGTCTTCACAGCTGCAGTTTTCTACTACTATTTTTACAAAAGAACTGCACTGAAACTAGGAGAGCCTCATTTTTATGAAGATTCAGAGTGGATTCACAAAGAATTTGAAAGGAGGAGATGATTTACCAAAGATAATGAGCAAGTTATCAACCTTCCTGGCACTGATGCAAGAAATACATTGAACACAGCTAGCATATTCTAGGAGTCAGACGTCTGAGCTGATAACATGAGATCTATGATTCTTCCATTCATTTATAGATAAATGTCTTTGTGTTGTTACCTTATACTTACTCATATTATGTATTCTGTTATATGAACATAAAAGCTTTGTTGCAATTTGTGACACTGTTTAAAAATAAAATGTATTCATTCATCGTCTTTTTAAACCCGAGTTTCTGTCAAATTGTGAGCAAAACACAAGTTTTTTAAGGCCAAGTTGACATCCTGATTTTCTCTTTGCCTTAGTAATAGAGGTCACAGGATCATGGCATGAGTCACCCAATAAATAAGTTTTCTCAGGGAATGTATTCCATTTAATGCTTTACCCTGTTGATGTTTATTACTCCCTTCATTTATCTTTATATACATATGGGGGGGGGGGGGGGGGGTGTGTAAGTAAAAGTAAAGGACTGGTGTAGATAAATACATTTTAACCAAATTCATTAGTGGTTTCTGTTAAATTATTTATTGTAGGATATTTTTTAATGGGAATTCCATGGGGTCATGAGCCATTTTTTTTTTTTAGCAATAACTGAGAGAAATTGTTACAAATGTGATCAGCATGTTGTGTTTTGGTTTACATTGAGGTTGTGGTATCTGCCCTTTCTGCCCAAAACATCTGATTTCAGCAAATCCTTGATTAGCAAACTTTTACAATATGCTTGTTGAGAGGCAATGCTTCTGTTCTTTGCCCCCTCAGAATGAACCAACTGTTTCTCCAACTCATGACAGTAATAAAAATTTCATTGTAACATTTTGTCAATAACATATGGTTTTATTTTATTCTCACTGCAAAAGCTAGATTTAAATGTATACATGCTCTGTAACCTTAGCAATCTTAGTCTTCTCAATTCTTCTGCTCTTTACCTGTTAATGTAGCATAGGCCCTCAACCAACTCATGCCAAGTCATTCTATCCTTTGTTATCATGGTCAGTTCACCCCTCTTGTCATCCTCCTCCTCTTCTTTTTCTTCTTAGCATTCACGGCTGAAAACTCAGGCCGAATGTTCAGGCTTTTCATCTACTTCAATCTTGCTCCAGAATTTGAGGTTTGTGTGCACATTTTTTTTATAGATCTGGCTTTGTTTGTTTTAATGGATTTTCTTCCAAAAACTGCTACAGGTTCGTTGCCCTTTTTTTGAGTGTTCTCAGGGAACAAAAGGATTAAGAGGTTTGAGAAATAGCTCCCACCCCAATTCCCAAATCTTCATCTTTGGAATCCATTTTTTTTTTTTTTATTTCAATATTTATCATTATAATAAGTTCTTCAGTATGACTATTAAAAAAAAAATGTGATCCATGGCAGACCTTTGAACAAAGGAACAAACAAACTTTATTTTCAAAGGGTCACAAATTGGCCGTTTAGGCCCGTCTCACATTCAGCTAGCTTAAGCACCCCTCTCTCACACCACAATTGCATTCCATCTAGAAACATGTTGTATTAATACAGAAAGCAAGTGAAAACACAAAAAACTTGTATGGTAAATGCACAGATTTAAATATATACATGTGTACATATATCATACATACAAACATACTTTGCACTTAGCCAGACATTAGAAAATAAGAAGGGTCTGTGTTGTCTTCATATCCTACCCCAAACAGGGAAAATCTACAGGTCACAGGACAGTCTAATATTTCAGGGGGTGGTAGATAGATTGCATGCAGTCATGGGACCTAGCCATTCTGCAGTTGTGGTACCCAGGCTGCATGTAGTCGTGGGACCTAGGCTGCACTCTCTCATGGGACGTAGGTGGGTAGAGGTTAGGGTCAGTTCTAGATTTTTGTGTGGTTGTTAAAAGCATCAGAAACTCGGGAAACCCAGTCTCACTACCCTCTAAAATGTTGGACTGTCCTGTGATGTCATCTGGGGTAGGATATTATGAAAGAACAGAAGGGTCTGTAGGTCTTAGCTAATTTAAACCACTGTCCTAGGCCAGCAACTTGCTACAGGGTGGGCCATATTGATGGGACACATTTCAAATGTATATGTGGAGCATGTAGGAAGCTACATTTATTACCAAATATATGGAAAACACTGCCAAAGGATGGGAATTTTGCTCTGTGTTTAAAGACTACATCCCTGAGATGGACACCACCTTGCAGAGAACATTCTTTGACCTTAACAGTTATGTTCAGCAAAGTTTTGCACAGGATTTTGGCTGGAATGACCACTATCTCCCTTTGGATGTTGTCCTTCAGTTCATTGATGGTAGGGGACAATGAAAGAAACATGTAACAGTAACTCCCATCCTTACACTTCCTATTAAGCTATATCTAAAACATGCATGACAGTTATTGCTCGCTGTAATATAAATATAAATGTGTCCCATCAATATGGTCCACCCTGTATGTATGTGTGTGTGTGCATATATATAAATATATATATATATATATATATATATATATATATATATATATATATATATATATATATATATATATATATGCCCGGCTCTCTAGCGGAATTGGCTAAACCGGATTTTGCGGAGTCCGGGTGACGTACTCCTTGTGGTCCGGGTTCAATCCCGGGGGTAGGCAGGAAAGCCACATTTTCTCCCAGATTTACGGTATTTACAATGGAATCAAGGCCGAAAGGTTGTGATATCCATAATACCGAGCCTAAGGGTTAACAACTCATGGCTTCTGGATACTAAAACAAACAAAATAAATATATATATATATATATATATATATATATATATATATATATATATATATATATATACACACACAAATGATTTACTGTTATGCCAAAATATTTTAACTGTATGTCTACCAGTTAGGCTTTTTATTTAAATATTTAAAAATATATTTAGTGTTTTAAAATGTTTTAAAGCTCATTATAGCTATTTTAATGTTCACATAAAATGCCTTTATTTTTCTCAAACCAGTAATGAACAGATTGTAAATATTACATTCTTAACTATCCGTCCTTTTCACTTTTTGAAAATATAAATATGTACATGTTACTATGTGGGATATATGGATTGTATGTTGTTCATCTATGGATGTGGGCCCTGTATGGATATGTATGAAGTTCTTGTTGGATATGTGCATTGTCCATATACAGATACATATGTCCCCCGTGTGGGTTCCGGGGCCCCATTGTGGGGAAAACAAGATTAGACCCACTGCCTCCCCAAAAGCATGTCGAAAGAGTCAACTAATTAGGGAGCTTCCTTTGAAGTTGGAGTGCATCTGCCGGAGAGGCAAGGAACCAACAGTCTGTATTCAAGAGAATGAGATCTGTAAAACTGATGCACACTCAACACTCAGGTTCTGGAGCAGGACTGCAGTTCAGTAGTGGACGAGCAACCAGAACCTTCCGCCAGAGTTTACAGCTGGTGAACGCGAAGAAGAAGAAGAAGATATGTATGTAGTTGATATATGCATATGTGTGAAGTCAATGTGTGGACTTGTATATTGTCCAAATGCAAATATGTATGTGGTCCATGTATGGAAATGTATGTGGTCTATGTATGGATGTATATATGTGTGGTCCACGTATAGATATGTAATAGGTCCATCTATAGCTATGTATGATGAATGTCAGTGTGGATATGAATGTCTGAGTATGGATATGAATATGTCCATGTTTGGATATGTATGATGTTCATATACGAGAATCATGGAAATAGACCTTACATGCATTTGTTATTCTTTGTGCCTTAATATTTAAATTTTTTTTTTTTAATTAAATAACATATAAAATGTAGAAATGTAAAAAATGTGTATGGTTCATCTGTTTTCTTATCCTCAGAATTATAAAAAGCGTATATTTAATTTGTGTTACAATTAAAACATTTTGTAACAATTGTTTAGTTCTTTTTGAAACCAGCTTTTGCTAAGTAAACACTCTCGCTCCATAAGAATTATTTAAAAAAAACTATTTCAAAATTGTGTTTAAAAGAAATGAATTGTTATAATTGTCTGACACTCTGCCTCAAGAAACCAGAGGAATAGAAGTAGAAGCCGAAGAAACTTGGAGTCTTTGCCGGTTTTTATAAAAAAAAAGGGGAGGCAGTGGGTCTATTCGACGCCTTCGAAAATTACAGGCCCTGAAACTCGACTGGTGACGTCACTTCCCGAGGCAAACTCAAAATGGATGTTTCAGTATTTTTCTTGTGAAAGTTTTTAATGTGGTTTAATTTTCACGTCTGATTCACCTATAAGCGGTATTTCAGGGAGTAGATTTAGTAAGCAACTTCTGCAATTTACGTTGGATTTATCGTCAGTGTGTTGGTTTTCGAGGAACTATGCCTGCTAAATGTTCTGTACCCGAGTGTCGTTCAAATTATGACCTTTCTAGAGGATATGTAAGTTGCTTCAGATTCCCTTCGAATTCTCTTTTAAGAGACAAATGGCTGAAACATATTCCACGGAAAAATTGGAATCCTGGGAAAACCAGTGTAGTATGTATAAAACATTTTCGTACGTCAGATATTATTGTGTCTGATAAATATACAGACAAATCTGGAATCGAGCATATACTCCCAAGAAAGAATCCCGCTTTAAAAAAAAGATGCTTATCCAACTATCTTTCCAGATCTTCCATCCTATTTATCGGTGAAAGTACCAGCCTCTCGCAAAACTCCAGAGGAACGTGTATCACATATTAATCGTAATTATGATCAAAAAGTAAATGATTGGCTGTCCTCAGATATCATTACAGATTTCCAAGATCTGGAGTCACAGATAGGAAACAAACTGAAAGGACACTTTGAAAAAAAATTGGAAACACACTTCTGTAGATGGAGCTTTAGCATGTATTGTTTTGTATGTCATTACCATACAGTCAGACTCTGCACCATCCATAGGTGTCAGCATAAAGGTGTTACTTGATATGACTATACAAGTCTTTGTTCGAAATAAAAAATTTAAAGACAAAGACCTTAAATGGATTGTAGACAACAATAAACTTGTGAGATGGTCACAGCTTGAAAATCGTGTAATTCATTACAATGCCTGGGATTATAGTAAAATTCAAAGCCAAAATAGCTTCACAGATTTAGTGGAAGAAGCAGGAAGTATTTTGAAGAGTGCTGCAGAGCAACAGTGGACTCCTAATGGGACAGCTGATGAAGTAACTGACACACAAGTAAACTTTCTTGCAGAGCAGCTGCAACTTTTAACCGTGTTAAAAAACAGAAGGCGTTACAGTTGTAGCACATTATGTTTCGCTTTCATGCTGTTCATTAAATCTCCAGCATGCTACCGGTTTATAAGAAAATCTCGTATGTTGTGCCTGCCTCATCAAAGAACACTGCACAATTTAACTTCACAGTTGTCATTGTCTACTCATACTGGCAGCATTTCACAGTACTTGAAATTGAAACAAGACAAACTAACAGAGCTAGAAAAGATTGTAGTAGTTCAGATGGATGAAATATATGTTAAATCTGCAATTACTTACTCTGGGGGCAAAATATTTGGCAATGCAGACAATGCAAAAGAAGCAGCAACAACAGTGCAGGCTTTCCTCATATCTTCAGTTTTTGGAAGCTACCAGGAAATTATAGAACTTTCACCTGTGAACAGAATGACATCTCAGGATCTACGTTTGAAATTACTCCACTGTATCCACTTTGTACAGGAGTGTGGTTTCACAGTGGTTGCTGTAATTGCAGATAATAGTGCTGTCAATCGCAGAGTTTACAGTGATCTCCTGAAATCAAGCCAAACTTTTATTGAGAACCCAGATTTTGCTAATAAAAAAATATTTTTACTGCATGATTCTGTGCACTTGCTAAAATGCATGTGGAGGAACTGGATCAACCAGAAGGACACAAACCAGACATTTACTTATCCTTTAATAACTGGACAAATGCTAAACGCCTGTGATAGTGATAGAGCTGCAGAAGCTAACTTTTCTCATTTAAAGAAACTGTATTATAGTGAGCAAAAGAATATTGCAAAACTGGCACCTAAACTTTCCCACAAAGCCATCTATCCCTCCAGCATGGACAAACAGAATGTTCCTCTTGCTTTGGCAATTTTTAATGAATACAATGTTGCTGCTCTGCGTCTAGTAGGCAGTAATGAAACAGCAGATTTTATTGAAGCCATCCTTAGATGGTGGCATATTGTTAATGTGAAAAGTAAATTTGTAGGTAAAAAGACACTGAACTCATTCTCAAATCCTGTATTGTCAAATGATGATGAACAAGTGCATTATCTTGAACAGTTTGCTGAATGGCTAAGAAAGTGGGACAAGCTGACTGGCTGTCAAGGAAAACTGACCAAGGAAACACACAGTGCACTGCTGCATACAGTGACCGCAGTGCTTTCTCTAATCAAATATCTATTTGCAACCATAGAAGCCAGTTTTATACTTCTTGGAAAGTTACAGACTGACAAAATTCACCCAGTAATGGATTTCATGGATTATGTAACTTCAATTTGGACAGCTACATGGTAAGTAGTTTCTGTTGTGCTTTTAGTTTCTATGTCATATTGTGAATATGTGAGTCGTTTCTGTTGTGCTTTCTGTTTCTATGTCATACTGTGAATATGTCAGTAGTTTCTTATGCGCTTTCTGTTTCTATGTCGTATTGTGAATATGTGATTAGTTTCTGTTGTGCTTTGTTTCTATGTCTTATTGTCAATACCTATATCCAGGGCTGTTCAACTAAGTCAATTTAGGTTAACTCAGAAGCCAACATTGTAAAATTAGGGATCATTATGGGCCAGCAGTCCAAGTCCCAGCTTAGAAAAACCATTATTTCATTGCAACCAGCAGTGATCCGCGGGCCACTCGCTAGGCCTCAGCGGGCCAAATTTGGTCCACGGGCTGACTGTTGAATAGCCATGAGCTTACTGCTATACTTTTTGTGGGCTAGTACTCAGGGGACAGCCGGGAACAACAACAAAAAACAGGTACTGTCTGAGTGAAAAAGTAACAACGTTAGCCAGCGGCGGTGACGTCACGTCCCGCTGATGACGTCAGTAGCTAGGCCTGTACTAAAGTTTGGCCATGGTCTATTCTTGTTTTACCCCATAATGGGGCTCTGGAACCGACATGGAGACCAGGGTTATTGAAACCTATGACCACTGAGCAGACAGGCAAGTGTGATGGCTACTGCGACACTGTAGTCATCAAGTCACTAAAATAATTAATAATAATTTAATTTACTCACTTTTATGAGTGAAATAATTAACTACTTTCATTCCCTATGACCATGATAATAGTGGTTTTGTTGGCTTGGTAATGTGGAGCAGAGTGATGTCATAATGGGATTTTTATATGAAAAAAGATGAGCTCACAATTTTTTTTTTTCAAACCTTCAGTATTATCTTATTTTTTGGGGGTACATATAATCTTACTGGGAGCCGCCACAGTCTAGCGGCTAGAAGCTCAACTGCAAATCCTAGGTTCCTGGGTTCAGGACCTTGGCTTCCAGGTCAGCCTAGCCTTAAATGGGTACCAGGTAAAGTCCTGGGAAGCAAAGCCAGCGGGCGTGATGTTGACCATTTTCCCCACCAGGTGTCGCTTCGTCTATAAGAAATAGATCTAGCCCTGTATGCTCAATGCACCTGTAGGTATGGAAAAGAATTCTTTACTTACTTTTACATATAATCACACCACATCTATTACACACTGCATTTGTTGTTGTGGTTGTTTTCGTTCATCAGCTGTAAACCCTGACAGAAAGTGCTGGCTGTTCATCCATTTCTAGACTTTAGCTTTGTTCAACAACATGGGTTTTGTATGTGCATCCATGTTACAGATCTGGCCTAATTGTATGTAAACTGTTGGTTCCTTGCTTCTTGGGCAGATGCACTCCGACTTTGAAGGATTCCCCTAGTAACTCGACTTCTACAACATGCTTGTTAGGAAAGCAGTGGGTCTATTCTTGTCTGCCCCCCCCCTCCCCCCTCCCAATGGGGCCCCATAACCCACACAGGGGTATGAAGTTGCAATCAGTACCGGAACTGTTATATAGAGGTAGTGACCACTGCCCAAAGACTTTCTATCATCAAAAACCCCTAAGTGTGTTTCTGAGGATGACAGGTTTAAACTAATTATTATTAATAAAGCTCAAGAGAAACCATCTTGCTTTTAATCAAAGAGAGGTGATAATAACCTCAACCAGGGAAACTAAGCCATTAAACATGGCACAATGAAAACAAGACCACAATTATAACTAAGGGAGGTTGAACAAGGTCTAATTTTTGTTAAAATAAATTTTTAATCTATCAAATCGAAACACGCTGTTCTATGTGAATGACAAAAGAAGTGGAAAATTATTTAATTCATAGCTCAGTCTGTGGAAAGGGAAGCCATCCATGAAGCAGATACCTACGTTTACACTAGGTGCCTCTTCAAAACCTGACACTGAAAGGCAAAGCAAAGACTAGAGAAAAGAAGAACAGAAATATCCTTTTTTTTTTTCGTTCACTCTGCCAGTAGTCAGATGAGAAGCCACAAGCCTCTAGGAATTATGTGGTGTGAAGCATATCTTCCATTATTCTGTACAGTTTGGTTTCCATTCCAATGCCAACTGACAAAACCTGAGATCTGTCTACTGCATGTAAGGAGCATTCTGTATCATGTGTTCAGCATTCACTGGTGCCTGGCAACATGGGCACAGTTTTGAATCCCTAGTCTTGAATTTCTTGTACGTATGGCAGCACCTTCTGTTGTATCTAATACACAGTCTAAATATAATTTTTTTTTTTAAATTGTATTTAGTATTTAATGGTTTAAAAACATCAGGCACAAGTACAGCAACAGCTACATCACATCAACACCAGAGTTCTCAAGTAACTTGTACACCTTTTCCTGGTCATTTTTCTTCATGTTTATTATGTACATGATGCAAACATTCTCAAGAAATGATGAAGATTAGTTTCTTTCACTGAAACTAAAAACCTCCCCTGCCTCTAAATCCTCTGCCCCTGTTCCCCCTGAAACTACCACCTTCCCTACCCCTATCAAAACCACCTCGTCCACATCTACCAAACCCTGTCTCTCTGCCCCTGTCAAACCCTCCTCTACCTCAGCCTCTGTCGCCACCTCCTTTGCCTACTCCCCATGGCCCTGGCAGGAACCTTGCAAGTGGCAACAATTTGGTTAGATCAATGTAAAACCTGGCTGATTTATCACAGGACGTTGCCTTCGTGTTGTCTGATAATTTGACTGAAAAGTAAAAGTCCTTAATGGGGCGAAATATTTCATCAACTTTTCCAATCTGTTGTTTGTTTTGCAGGAAGATGGGAGCGTTAAAGTATGGAATCTTGTCACTGACACTCTTGCAGACCGAATCTTCTTCACAAGTGTGTGTTATGAAGCCGATTTCCTTTGATAGTTCTTGATCCTGCCATCTGTTTCCAAAGCCTTCTCTACCACCGCCACAAAGTCTAAATATAATTGTCTGTTTCTTTCGTTTGATAAGGTGATTGGGAATACCTATTAACCTATTATACCTATATGTGGAAAGTGATGCTGTGGGCTAGTTAAATAACTGGAATCATTCACAGGAAGTCGAAATATTCTAAAATTGGGTCCTTGACCACCAGAGAAGTCCAATATCCCAGCATGATATAGGTGTGCTCGGTTGGTAATGAAATATAGATTTTCAATATCTGGATTACCAAACGCAAAACCATCTGGCCACTGCATGGATTCCCAATTCTGTGCCACTGGCGTGTCAGTGACAAGGGTAACTTCCCCTTCAGAAACACCTTGGGACAAGATGTCCATTTCTATGTCCCACCTGGAGAGAAGATTTCAAAGATACAGCAAATATAACACAATTATGTTACTTATCTCTTTCAGTCCCAAGCAAGGCCTGATGTTTGAATGAATTTACCCTTATAATACTCTACATAGCATAATGTGCTCTCATACTTTTAACATGTGTTCTCATACTTTTAACATTTGGTCAGAAAATGCTGATAAAATCTGGCTTTCCCCTTTTTCCCAGGGATCTACAGAAGAATTGGGCTCATGAACTAAATGACACAGCAGTCTGTGAAACAAACTCATCAGCTTCAGAGCACAAGGCAATTTTTGCCATGGGAACATGAAATCGTCGTATGAATCTTACCGAGAAGGCATAGGCAAACTATTGAACATAAAAAGGTCTAGTAAAACCATAAACATCCAATAAGTACTTGAGATTGCTATATGATATCTTTGAGGGGGATTTAGTTCAACACTTCTGACTTGTTGTGTTAAACAAAGTAATGAAGATGTCTTGAAAGAAACTTACTCATGAAGAGAACTGACTGCCCACATCAGAGGGAGAAACCTACTTTCTCTGATCAGGTCATGAGAAGGAGAACACGAGTACATTGTGTGGTGGAAAAGAGGCTGAGAGAGAAGATGCTGGACAGTCTGACATCGTGGCATGGACTGTGTCAGAGTTGACTGAAAGTACACGAGATAGAATGTTGTAGATAGACTTCACTACCACCTCATGGACTATAAGAAGCAGTACTTTTTGTGTTAATTATATGAAGTTAAGTGTAGAAGCACCGTAAATAGATGCTTGCTTACCTGTCCAAAGGTTTTGAGTACAAATCTGCAATGTTGTGGATTATTACATTTGACCTAGTGTGACACAGCTGCCTCTTTTACTGTCCCAGGTTCGTTTATATTTGTCACAAGGGTGGCTGGTGATGTTTATAGACGAGGAGAAAGATGGTCGTGTCGTTAGTGGTAATGATGATGATGTCTTGCTCGCTGCATGCTTCTCATGTGACTCTACTTGTATAATAAAGTGTCTGGAAACAACTATTCTTGTCTATACTTTCTTTATTATGATACTCCAACAAATGTCACAAAATACATCAAATGATATTCTGAATAATGCTGAATTATCTCTGTGGCTAAGTATTCGTAGAATCGCGTTGTGTTCTTCTTTATTTACTTTGTTAACTGGTTCTATTGTCTCTAACTGCCACCGGGCTCCTAGTGTAGGTTGGTCAACATGTTTTATCTTCTACTTATAAAATTCATTTGGAGAATTTCAGGAAGTCTGGCCTACATGTAGTTCTTCTAGTCTACTGTGCTCCGGCCTCTTCTTCTTCTGTCTCTGAGTCAGTACCCGACCCCGAATCAGTGTCTAGGCCTGAATCCGACTGGACCCATGGGTGGTTAGGGTGGTTAAAAATGTCAAACTCTCTTACTACAAAACGGTATACACTAACTAGTCCGTCTTCACGTGTACAAACAATGGTAACTTCCTGGAATGGGCCATGACTTCTAACGGTAATTCTGATACTGTACATCTGTAATTTTGTCTATCTATTTATCTACTCTTTCTAATGAACCTTCCTTTCCTGTTTAACTGACCGGTACTTCGTTCTACTATCTATCTCTGTCCCTATCTCTTTCTTCTACCTCTGTCTATCTCCGTCTTCTCCTCTGGCCTGTCTCCGTCTATCCTCTTGCCTGCCTCCGTCTGTGTCTTGTCCCTTCTCTGTCCGAGGGTCCCGGGCGATCGCTTATAAAGGGGTTACTAGCCTGCTCCCAGGGGTCTCCTACCCACGTTGTTTTGCAGATTCTGCAGCGACCTTAGCTCGCCGGGTCATTGCAATTTTAACTATGTAAACTAATTGTTTTGTGCAGGACGGGGAGAGTCACATGATGTCTAGTCAGACGACTGGAAGTACGTGAGAAACTAGATTAGGGACCTAGGGGGGATATAAGTGCTTGTTAAGCACAGTGGAAAAGTTTTAACCATAAGGGTGAAGGCCATAAGGGGTCTTGTCGTGCAAACAGCACAACACTAAAAAGGGGGTAGGGGTACTGACTTTGTTACATTAGAACCCTAGCTTAACATGAGAGTAAGGAAATATCCTGGGACGTAAAGGTGACCGGCCTGAGGTTGACCATCACCATTTAGAGTGCTGATTGCACTATACAAATATGGCTGTAGCATTGTGAGTTGATGCGGCCATTGCTGTGAGCAGGGATCTTTAACTCTTTTAGTCACAGGCTGTTGTTCTTCTGCACCTCCTCTCCTAAAGTGTGTGTACTTTCAATCAGCCATGTAGGGGTCTTACCGAGTTTAAATAATACAGTCATGGGACAGGAGAGTTAAAGTAACAAAGCGATTATAGTGAATTAATGTAATAGAAGAATTGAACAGAAAAGGTTAGGACATTTACTCTGTGCATATATTAATCAGTGACCGCATAGTAAGTTGATTGGTACTGAAAGAGTCAATCACTAGAGAGAGAGAGCGCGCAGAGAAACACTGGCTTGTCCCCGAGAGCCGCATAGTCCAAGCTTGTTTCTGAGCTCTCTCTCTTTCTCTCTCTCTCTCTCTCTCTCTCTCTCTCTCTCTCTCTCTCTCTCTCTCTCTCTCTCTCTCTCTCTCTCTCTCTCTCTCTCTTTCGTGTGTGTGTGTGTGTGTGACACAAACACACACATTTATTTTGTGTGTTTACTGAAAAATAGCATCAAGCCCAATTGTACCGTTCGAGCGTATTCCCACACACCTGCAAAACTGAAGCCAGAGACGGCACCGATGTCGACTCCGGTATTGCAGGTGTGTGTCTTCTTCTTCTTCTTCTTCTTTTTCTTCTTCTTCTTCTTCTTCTTCTTCTTCTTCTTCTTGTGTTCAATTTCTGTGAAAGCCCCTGTTTCTGTCCATCCCGTCTCCAGCCTTCCCCCTCCCCCCCTCTCTCTCTCTCGCTCTATCTATCCATCCATCTATCTATCTATCTATCTATCTATCTATCTATCTATCTATCTATCTATCTATCTATCTATCTATCTATCTATCTATCTATCTATCTATCTATCTATCTATCTATCTATCTATCTATCTATCTATCTATCTATCTATCTATCTATCTATCTATCTATCTATCTATCTATCTATCTATCTATCTATCTATCTATCTATCTATCTATCTATCTATCTATCTATCTATCTATCTATCTATCTATCTATCTATCTATCTATCTATCTATCTATCTATCTATCTATCTATCTATCTATCTATCTATCTATCTATCTATCTATCTATCTATCTATCTATCTATCTATCTATCTATCTATCTATCTATCTATCTATCTATCTATCTATCTATCTATCTATCTATCTATCTATCTGTCTGTCTGTCTGTCTGTCTGTCTGTCTGTCTGTCTGTCTGTCTGTCTGTCTGTCTGTCTGTCTGTCTGTCTGTCTGTCTGGCTGGCTGGCTGGCTGTCTGTCTAACACAGACATACATTCATTCTGTGTGTTTACTTACTTAAAAACAGCATTGAGCCCAAGCGCCCCGTAGTACAAGCCCCTGTGTCCAAACATAATGCCATCAGCATTGGATTTCTTGCTTCCAACGAGACGGACATTGCCGGAAAAGTCCGAGTCTTTATCCCGAAGTACCCATGTCGGAATCTGCCACAGTTGTTTCGAACCAACAGAGGAGTAGTAGACATAGTTCAAGGTGGGTGATAAAGCTATACCATCGATGCCCAGACTAAATGTGTAGGTACGCCCTTGAATAGTGATGTTTCTGGAAAAGATAATAAATGACGACACTGATCGTGTCCCCTGAAAGCATTTCGCTGAAGTCCAATTTTAACAGAATTAGAGAGAACGCTGAGCTTTGTCGGCGACCGGGTCGCCCATTTGCTGACCGATAGACTTCGTCCCAGTCGGGCGAGTATTTCAGTCTGTCTCCTTTGATCGCATCAACGCTGCAAGAGTTGTGTGTGTGTGTGCGTGCGTCCGTGCGTGAGTGTGTGTGTGTGTGCGCGCGCGTTTTTAGAACTACTTGGTGGCGAGCAATGCTAAGTCATTTTATATGACGCACACAACCTAGCCACCCTCGAGGAAAAAAAACGATTTTTGTTTTTTCGCAAAGCAAGCCAAGCTAAGAACACTGAGCTCTTTCTGCACACAGATCATAGCGACTCTGCTAGCCATTGGGTCCTAAATCACCTGGTAACACTAAATGAGTCTATGTGGCTTAGGCGTTGCGAACGCGCTTCATAATGCTGAGATGCCGGGTTCGATTACAGCTGCAGGCGATTTGGCACCACGCCGCTTGCGTTAGTTTTAACAGTGGTATCAAGAGCTGAACATTTAGTAAGCAATGGCTAACTGGTTAGTTGCGTATCCTTTACAGGACGTTGCAGAACCAACCGATGCAGCCCAGGGCTGTTGTGTGGTTTCGTTAGGCAAATTTACGTCCAGTAGTTTGCCCACTGGACGGTCGGCCCCCTGATACCACTGTCGAAACCAACGCCAGGCGCATGGCGTGCAGCTGTGATTGAACCCGGCACCCCGGCATTACGAAGCGTTCGCATCGACTTAGCCACAGAGCCGACTGTTGGCTAACTACTGAACGTAAATTTGCCTAGAAAAAGGTGGAGACAGGCATGGTCCGGGCAGAGTGGCAAGCATCGTTTCAAAGGCCCTGGGTAGTTAGCATCTTTTGGATATTTTCTCTAGGTAATGCCGGTATGTCGGCTCTGTGGCTAACTCGATTGTTACGGAGTAGAGGAAGAGGGGATAAATATTAAATGAGTGTTAAGTAAAGAGAAAGATAGAAAGATCACACAAAGTTCATACAAGCAGATCATCACAACTGAAACCACGGCCTTCCCTATTTACATACAGAAGGACCTGCCGAAACCAACCAACGCTCGATGATATGAGTGCTACTTGATGAGTTATGGCGTCAATCGTTGTTGCGTTTTTATGTAAATGTTGCGGGTCACACGGGAAGATGAAGGACAGTGATGTTGAGAGAGTAGTAGTAGCGCAGTGTCTAGACGTCTGCCGAATGACTCGCGTTTTAGTCCAAATGCTGTTTTTTTTTTTTATTGACCTGGGATCCTAAGATGAACTAACCTAAAATGAGTAACACGAATTGTCCTGGGAAGCGAAAACAGCTTAGGTTATATTGATCCCCTGAGCGCCAGTTCGTGTATAAAATAGATGTCTAACAAGATATCCCCAACGACGTAATGTGTATAAAATAGACGTCTAACAAGATATCCCCAACGACGTAATGTGTATAAAATAGACGTCTAACAAGATATCTCCAACGACGTAATGTGTATAAAATAGATGTCTAACAAGATATCCCCAACGACGTAATGTGTATAAAATAGACGTCTAACAAGATATCCCCAACGACGTAATGTGTATAAAATAGACGTCTAACAAGATATCTCCAACGACGTAATGTGTATAAAATAGATGTCTAACAAGATATCCCCAACGACGTAATGTGTATAAAATAGACGTCTAACAAGATATCTCCAACGACGTAATGTGTATAAAATAGATGTCTAACAAGATATCCTTAACGACGTAATGTGTATAAAATAGACGTCTAACAAGATATCTCCAACGACGTACTGTGTATAAAATAGATGTCTAACAAGATATCCCCAACGACGTAATGTGTATAAAATAGATGTCTAACAAGATATCCCCAACGACGTAAAAGTGGTCTTTTACTTTTTACTATTATTATTTTTTTATTATGGTGATAACAGTTTTACCTGTCTTTATCAGGGCCCATAGATTTGGGGTCCTTGAAACTCCATGAGTTGTTAGAAGAGAAATCAAACACGACAAGTTGTTGACCTGTGTGGAGAAAAAAAGTTAGTATGTTAAGATGGGCTATAAGCTTGATTCACTGGAAAAAAATACACCTGTGGTTTTATAATGACCGTATCAAGTCAGGCTTGACGTGACACCACCACTCCGGACTAAAGATACGTCCCGTTTTCACTCTGACAGTCCTTTTTTTTTCGGTGTGTTTCCGGCCGTTTTCAGCTCAAATATTGTGAACAAAATAGAATGAACAACATAGAAACAAAAAGTACAACAGAAACAACTAACATTTTAGCTAGCGAATATTCGATGGGTACCCACATAATCCACTGCAATCCACACCCCCCCCCCCCACCCTCATTGTTCAACTGGCTAAACGCCCTGTAATATTGATGGGGTTTTTTCTTGTTTTATTTACGTTTCTTGGTGGCCTATGATTACGCCTGAGATGTTCATCTCTTGGTTACGTCAGGTAAAAATCCAGAGCTGGAATACTCAAGGTGGTTCAACACTGCTGCTTCAGCAATTCCTACAACATCTTGGCTGTACTGGCATTTGGTCGTTCCCTTGGTTTCACCGGCGATGTAGGGGGGGGGGGGGTACCTGCAGCCTGGGAACAAGTTTATACTCCACTTCAACATTCCCAGGCCTATGCCCTGGAGAGGGTACTCCGATGTCGCTAAACAGCCTCGACATAACACGGGAAGCAGCAGCCACAAGTTTTAAGCCATAGGAAAGACCTAAGTGTGCAACGTTGTACATTGCATTGTTTGCGGTATTCAGTATTGACTGCTACTAACTACTGTTTAACTACTGCAATGACCAATCTCTATCTGTCACGTTGGCGCCACTACCGGGGTACTCAGACGCATGAAACCCCCACCCAAAAATAAAATAAAAATAAGATGTTTTTAGGGAATGAAGCCTGAACCCTCGTTGATTTTTAGAGTCCTCAATTGCACTTTCTGTAGTTACTCCCATAAGCCAGTAAGAGTGGTTCCCCTTAACTATGAATATGCATTCTCTTTTTTAGTATTTATTGATGCATTAAATATAGGTTAGTTCATTCGATTACTGCATTTCACAGCGATCGGGTTGATTTTCACAACGCTCTCACAAAACGCTCATTTTAAGCCTTTGGCTGCCATTTTCCACTGATTTTCAGAGGACTAATCGATTTGTTTACATTTTCAGGACTGTGATTCATGATTTGTGATTGTTTTAAATAATATTGTGGTGTAGATTTGGTGCTTTATTAGTATATCATTGTGTTTACTAATTAGCTTTGAATTCCGCGACCTCGGGTTGCCACGCAACCCTTAGTCTATAGCATCTTTCTAACAGCCAATAGGACCGCAGCTTGCAGATTTTTTCCCGCGCTTTCTTGCTGGCCGCTGCTCTGCGTCAGTATTAAACCTGGGATCTCATTGGTTAGCTGAGCTTGCGAATTTACTCACTTCATCCCCCCCGCTGCTTTTAACTAGTAAAAATTGTCTCTTGATTTTCATTGGTTCGCTGAACTTGTGAATTTCCTCAATTCATACCCGGTGTTTACCTTGCCACATTCTCACTACTAAAAGTATCTCTAGAATCCCATTGGTTTGCTTTTTGGCTGTTTTTCCTCATTTCATCCTCTCGATAGTAAAAAGTGACTTTTACGTTGATTTGTA